GAGAGAGAGAAAGAGAGAAAGAAAGAAAGAAGAACAGGAGAAAGGAAGAGGGAGAGGAGGGAGGAGCGGTGTGGAGCGGGGAAGCAGAGCGGGCGTCGGGCGGGGCATGTCAGGGCATGCCCTGACAGAAAGTCAAGGTCTACACTGACCACCGCAACTTAGGATATTTCTGCACCGTGCAACGGCTGAACCGGCACCAAGCGCAGTGGTCCCTCTTCCTCTCCCAATTTCACTTCACCCTCATCCACCGCCCTGGGAAACTCATGGGAAAGCCGGACGTGCTCTCACGCCGAGCGGACCACCCGAAAGGCAAAGATGACAATGATGGGCTAACCCTCCTCCAACCTGCTTGGTTTGAGGCCCATGCAGCAGAGGCGGTCTTGGTGGAGGGTGAGGAGATGACTATCCTCGAGAGGATTAGCAGGGCAAAAGACCTGGATGAAAAGGTGGTGAAGGCGATGTGGGAACCAGGGGAGGGCACGCTGAGGTCGGACGAGTGGGAGAAGCAAGGAGAGCTGGTTCTGTACAGAGGGAAGATATATGTCCCGAAAGACCCACAACTCCGCCACGACCTGGTGCGGCTACACCACGATGTGCAGGCGATGGGGCACCCAGGATGGTGGAAAACCCTGGAACTCGTCTCCCGCAACTACTGGTGGCCACGGATGGCGGAGTATGTCAGGCAGTACGTCTGCAGGTGCGACACCTGCAACCGTGTCAAATCCTTCCCCTCCCACAAAGTGGGAAAGCTCATTCCAAACAAGATCCCTGCCCACCGCTGGCAGGTGATTTCGGTGGACATGATCGGAGAGCTCCCCGAGTCGAAGGGCTACAATGCCATCCTGGTCATAGTAGATCGCCTATCCAAACGCATCCACGCTGTAGGAGAAATAACGGCCACACTATGGAAACCCATTATGGAAATATGCCAGATAAATCACAAAACCTCATATGACAAGTAGATATGAGAACATAGAAGGACCTGAATTTTAACGAATTTTACGAATTTTTACGAATTATTATGACTATACACGATAAATCAAAAGAAAGAAAAATAACAAAAAAAACTTCAAGCTTACCATCAACGAGACGGAACTCTCGGGAGAATTTATAGCAAATATTAAACCAAGAATTAGGACAATCGACCAAGATTTGACTATAAAAATAATCAGAGAACCTCCACGGAAACTACTTTCCCACGTCCGCACACGTAGCAAGGATGGAAGTACCACGGAACAAAGATTCCTCAGGAACTAATGCAAAAGTCAAAGTCGTGTTTATAATAGGAAATGTAGATGTCACCCAAACGGAACCAATGAGAGTAATTACAGGGGAAACTACCCATAAACGACGGAGATATGACTAAAACTCCTGCAAAACGAGGACAATGTCTAAAAAGCAAGCGCAAAGATTAACTAGTAACGACCGAGACAAGCTTGATAGCCCATTAGAAAGGAAAGGATCTACTCTTAATCCTCCCAAATTTCCATAATAAAAGGATCATGCGTTAATGAGAAATCCAATAACGGGAATAGCGACATCAAAAGTCCGAGCTCAGGGACAAGATGATGATTGCGTAGGATCCATAATTAAAACATACAACGAAATTTACACGGAAATTATGAAAAATAGGAAACTATAGTTATGCAAATTCTCAGCCCAAACGGTCCAGCCGTTGTGAAGTTATACCCATGACGGGAATATAGGAATCTGCATCATGTGTAATGACACGTGAGGGTGGCGATGCGCAGGGAACCAGCCGTCGGAACCGAGATCCGCACTTCAGCAGATTGCGAAGACCAATTTACGTCCAAATAAGGAAGAGCCCGGTCAAAACAAAGCACGAAAAGTGCAAAACAACCTTAGATCATGAGGGAAAAATCTGAAATAAATCACAGAAGCCCATATGAAAGAAATAAACACCCGCGCATATCATAAATCCCGAACAACTAAACGAAAACGGCTCCCGCATACGAACAACTATGGGAACGACGCACGTGATTACCGAATGTGCGCGCGAAACTTTGCTAACTCAACGAATACAGGGAAATAGGACACAACCTTAGTACCATTGGAAAGGTGGGAATAAATGAAAATTTATGATACCAAGAACGTGAGAAAACATCCAGAAATGAATGAGATACAAGGACATGAAGTTAGAAACCTGAAAACACGCGGGAAGACAGCTTCAAGAGGTCTAGAGCCCTAAATAAAATACATAAAAATATGATATCTTCGAGGACGACCTACTATAACAACGAACAATACATATGGAGGATTAGGATGTGATAATACAAAGGGGAATCAGGGAATATGAACGAAATTCACGAAAACTACTAAACTACGACGGACCATGGCGGGAATTTTAGGGAACGATGCTCTAATGAAGTAGAGAGCTATAACACATTCGTTTGAGTAATTCTTGATTACTAGCAACTTTTTCTTTCAGTTTTAAACCTGAATAATTCACTCATTTATCATTTCAGTCTCATTTTAACTAAATGTCACTAAATAAAATTGGAATAAATCAGCTGAAGGTCTCAGCACAGTCGCACGCATAGTAATGCGAGGTTTGAATTCAGTATGACCGAGTCATAGCGAACTTAATGGGAAATATGGGGAATTTGAAATAGGGAACTGCGGCAAATGCGGCGCAGACAAATTCTAATTAACCATTAAAATAGCTTAGGCGAGGAAGGACAATAAGGATTCCAGGCGCAGTCTGACCGCAGTAGAGCCGCAGTTCAGCGCAGCAAAGCGCAGTGGAACTATAGCGTGAAAATTTCACTTTTTATTCAGTTTGAGAAAAATACACTGTAAATAAATCCTGTAAATAGAAGGTAGAGCGTGAAAAAGGAAGGCGACCCAAGGAGTATAAAAGGGAGACCCTTTCTGCGACTTTTCGCCCCCCTTAGAGAAGTAAGAAAATAGAGTATTATTTTTCTCAAGCATTTCTGGTTGTCACTCCAGTGCGAAAAAGTGATATACAGTTAAGATTGCCACTGTAGTAAAAGGCAGCAAATAAGGAGAGAAATATTAAGTAGATATTTCAACAGGAGAGCTGGTTAACACTCCAGATTTCAAAGTGTAAACACAAAACAGTTATTTTGCTACTGTTAAAACAAGCGATAAAATAAAGACAAAAATAAAACGAACTCAAGGGACACTCCAGACACCATCCAAATTCATTAACTGAATAGAATCTTTGAAACTTCACCAAGTAGAAGATTAAATTCAAGTTTAAATCCAAATTAAACAACGCTACACAGAATTACACCTAGACAAATTAATAAATTTCAATAAAGAAACAGCTCCGCAGGGCTCGGTTTATCTGTAAGTCAATTCCCAGGAACTTTAAAACTAACCCATAAAAATAGAATTAGCCAAAACACTCGGATTGGTACTATATTTACAATAAATAACACTAGTACACTTCCCCATCCTAACTAAAGAACCAGGGAACAGCTTGGTGGTGGTCTCGTTTGAACCTCCCAACTGACCTTCCTTCGTTCTCTCCTTCAACGCAATCCCAACAGTGACAACGGTGGACTCAGTGGGGATCGTGCGGCTTTTCCTTGAACACGTCTGGAAGCACCACGGTCTCCCTGAGGAAATCCTCAGTGACAGAGGGAGCGCCTTCATCTCACGATTCTCGAAGGAACTCGCGGACCTCCTTGGCGTCAAGCTCACCCCCTCGACGCCCTACCACCCCCAGACAGACGGGCAGATGGAGAGAGTAAACCAAGAGGTAGAAGCCTACCTCCGAGTATTTGTCAACCACTGCCAAGACAATTGGGTGGACTGGCTCCCGCTAGCGGAGTTCGCCTATAACAACCGTGTCCACTCCTCCACTCACCGCACCCCTTTTGAGCTCGATACTGGCCAACACCCCAGGATGGGGACAGAGCCCACATGCACATCCGAGGTAGAAGCCGCTGACACCTTCTCATCGAGGATGATGAAGATGCAAGAAGAGGCGAAAGCGGCACTGGAGCACGTGGCGGATGAGATGGCCCGCTACTATGATCGGAACTGCAAGGCGGCCCCCATGTACCAAGAAGGCAACTGGGTCTGGCTCAGCACCCAGAACTACACAACTGACCGCCCAACCAAGAAGCTAGACCATAAATGGACTGGCCCCTTCACGATCGTTAAAGTCGTCTCCCCTGCTGCCGTCAAACTCCAGCTCACCACCCAACAAAGAGGGATCCACCCAGTTGTATCCGTGATGAACATCAGACCGCACCACCCCGATGAAATTGCGGAACGCCCCACTGACCCCCGCCCTGGCCCAGACCTCGTAGATGGAGAAGAGGAGTACGAGGTCGAGAAAATCCTGGACTCTAAATGGCTACGCCGAAAACTCCGGTACCTGGTAAAGTATACAGGCTGGCCACACTCAGAAAACCAGTGGCTCACGCGCGACCACCTGACCCATGCCTCCAACCTAGTTGAGGAGTTCCACCGAACGCACCCCCACACCCCGGGGAGAGAGAAGGAAAACTGCCCAGCCACTTCGAGGCGAAGCAGCTTAAGGGGGGGTGATGTCAGGGCACACCCACCTGACCCCACCCCGCGCCCCGTGCCATACTGCACTACTCCGCTACCACTCCCCATCTCTCCTTCTTCTATTTTCCCCCTTTCTCTCTATTTCTATTCTACGGTCGATTTCCCCTTCTCCATGTACCACTACATACCTAACCCTGCTCCCCCCTGGTCGCCACATGCACCGCACACACTCCCGCCTACTGAGCAGCCACCTCTGGGATCTCCTGCAGAGACACCCAGGGAGGTGCGGCTGTGTGCAGGGATGATGTGGCTTCCTCCACATGACCCTAGCCGCATGTATATAATAGTACCTGGGGTGGGAACAGAAGAAGCAGCCTTCTTCTCAACTTCCCACTTCAGGTAAGTACCATAGCTTTTCCCCTTTAATGATAATTCAACTTCCCACTTCAGACTAAGTGGTCGGGGACGCTCACCCCGTGACGGGATCGCCACTACACACAGCCGCTATTCGTCCCACCGAGTCCCGCATGCAGGGACCTCGCCGCTTTCGGAGCTGTCCCTGACAAGTAGTCACTAAGGAAAGTCCGAGGGTCGGACTCAGACCCGTGGGGGAGCCGTGATAAGGAAGTGTTTCCATTGCCTGTGACAATCAAATTAATGGGGTGCTCAGGCTCATCATGAAGCTAGAATAGGAGATATTAGTAAGTGGTCAGTAAAGGGTGCAGGACATACCTTGTAATGACATGCGGGACATGAGTTCCTGAGCCAATAATCTGGTGTATCACATCCCATGAGGTGCTTCACAAAGGCATTCACTCTCATAATGATAGCATAGTATGCATAAAAGGCTAATGAGACCTGTGTACCAAAGTATGGTTGATATACAACCTGACAAAAGGGTGCTGTCAGACAACAAAGCCGTTATATCCATCATATACACACTCATGCAGTGCAAATCGGCCAGCAATCGGGCAAATGACTGGACACTGAAGCCGGATAAGGCATGCATTAGACAATGAAGGAGCTTGAGTGAACGTATTGAGATTGCTACAGTTGGATTGATGAGAGTTGGTGGGATATAGCCTGAACGGAGAATGGCAGATGTCGGTGAGGTTTCATCTGGGTCTTGAGGAATGTGTTCGTATGACCGTCCATCTTCAGAAAACTAGCATCTTGTGAGTGTTTCCAAACAGAATAAGGCCTTACCAAAGACATCAACGACGTAAATATGAACAAAGTTCGAATTTTCAGGTGGTTCTGGGTAATGAAGCGGCATACAACAAGGGTTGCTTGTCTTGTACCTCAAGTAAATGTCAGAGAGACTGGGTATCAATGCCGCCCAGTGTGCTTGTGACGCCTGGATTCTATTTTGCCATGAGAGTCCTTTGGTTCGTCTAAACAGATGCAAGATGGAGTAACAGTTAAAACAGAAACAACATAATACTTACTGCTTTGGCTGGAGTAGTGTCACTACATCAGCGAGCTCTTCACAAGTCATGTCTAGGGAATAGTCGATCATGGGCTCATCGAGGCTGACACTCCAATCATCACTTCCAGTAAGGTCAATTTCATTTCTAATATCATCTACCAGTGAAGAAACGGCTGGGGAGACACCTAAGCTGACGATTATGACCTTACACGCATTATCCACAGGCCACGTCACCTTCAAGAATTGAGGACTGTGCATCTTGGAACCTCTTCCAAGCTGTCTTGCACACGATGAGCCCGGATTTGGTTGTATTCAGTGTACCAGTCACGAAATTTGTGTTAACAAGCCTAGTTTTCCGCTTTGGCATCATGGGCACAGTTGGCATTGGCAACGATGATGACGACGCCTGAGAAGAGACACGTGATGAAATGGTTTAGACACCAGCACTATTTGTCTATTAGTATAATTAGTATAATTGAATATATACACAGTATACAGTGTGCTGGGATTCTGGGAGCATTCAGAGCACGCAATTTTCATATAGAAAATGTATGAAGCACCTTATATATACAAGGGATTCAGAGAGCATTCAGAGCACAGGTGATTCCATATTGAGAGTGTATGAAGTATCTATATATGGCTAGGATTCTGAGAGCATGCAGAGCATGCTCGGAAAAGGTGGTTTGGTATCTAAGGAGGTATCGGAACCCCCCTGACTATGGGGGTTGGCAAACGAAGGGAGATGTCTGAGATAATATAATGATCACGTGCTTGCCAAAAATGGCCATCATTCCTCATCAAAAACAATTCCTCTTGACTAGTACACCATGTATTAAATATCGCCATAAATAATGATATTGATATACCTGCACAGGATGGAAGCCCAATTTGAAGCGGTTTTTATAGATGATTATGGAATATCAAAAAATGTGCGGGATTGTCTTGGGCTTTTCTCGTGCATCAGGAAGAATTTCAAAAATCCACTAGGCCAAAATTTGCATTCATATCTCTAGAGTAATCATGCAAAGTTTGAAGCCAATTGGAAAAGAGGAAAGGTACATTCTGTGACTCTGAAGCCAAAATGGATGTAGTGGGCCAAAGCTCCATATAATATATAGCTATACCAATGTAATAACTAAGCGAAGAAGTAGTCCAATGCTATTATAGCAATCCTTCGAAGTTTGAAGAGTTCATATGTAGCAATCATTGAACTATAAAGCAATATGGTAAAATGCGATTTTTTGTATGATGAATAACTTGTGATTGAGGAAGAATTTCCAAAATTTGGTAGGCCAAAATATAAACAGACAATATGTCTACAAGCATGCCAAAATTCGAGCAAAAAGAAGGGGATTGAAGGTACATTTGAAACTCATCTTTCCAAGAATGTTGAAATAGGCACAAATAGGGATCACATGTCATGGTTTACAACGTTGTGGGCCTCACCCAGCCTCAAATGCACTGTTGCTTTGGTCCAATCAACTTTATAATTAGAGGGTAATTGTTTGTATTTAGTCTCCCAAATACTGCGGGACAAAACTTCCCAGAATGCCTTCACTCTCGTGATATAGATACATGAGACTTGGGGTCTTTACCAACCTGAGTATGGACATTGAGGGATGGAAAGGAGTACTAAGACAAATAGCTATAAATCTAAAACACCATAGCATGGCAGTTACAGCCCCTCTGATGATGGAAAATGATGGTGCTCGGCTCGAACATGGTTCAATCATTAAAATGTCCATCTAATTACCCGTCCTTCCATATGCATAATCTTCAGTCTACATAATACCATTATTCAGTTAATTCTAATATAGTTTACAACCTAAGGATGATGTGTTTTGAGGGTGAGGATGGTGTGGCCAGGATTGAGACGAATGTTGCTTACATATGTAAGCGTCACCAGGCTCTAACCTGGTTTGCCGACCCCCACTGACTACGATACCTAGTTACATTGATCCCGTGATGAGTAATAGGTGATATTTTCCTCTGAAAATCCAAAACCAGATCCGTGAATTTCCGGATGCGGATGCAGATATCCGAAGATCATCCGATCCGCCAGGAGTGCTATTCACACTAAACCTAATAACCCCCCTTAGTAGAACGGACAAAAGCCACATGCACAACTACGTAAATGAGGAAATATATTTTAAAACCAACTAGAGATACATGTCGTGAATATCATATTTATCATAAATAAATGATCAAGGTGTGGGGATAGTCTAATCTGAATTGCTCAACTTCTGAATCTGAACTACAGTATGAGCAACCCAACCCAACCTAACTCATTTTGACAAAAATAGACACATACATACCCAACACCCAACCCAAATACCCAACCCACCAACCCAATTATGCCCAGTGCCCCCAGGGAGTAAGAAAAAAGGACACAAATAGCCGTGAATCGAACTGGCACCCAACCGAGCCAAGAACGGAGGCTAATCAATCATGAATTGGCCATTAGGCCAAGACACCACTAATGCTCCCCCAGGACTTAATTTGTAAATATGCTTCTAGAAACATTACAAATATGGAAAATCTGGAATCAGATTTGCGGAACTAATTTTATGATTTTCGAGAAAATTTTCAGCGCACGTGCCTATGCATGTGACTTTTATCCATTCTACTAAGGGGGGTTGTTAGGTTTACTATCTTGAGCCACCCAAGGTTTCACCCACATTAGGGGGTTTCATGATGAGCTAAAGTGGTACTGAACTGGGATGTAAACTAGACTTGAAGTGACCCGAGTTGAGGGACAGTTAAGAGTCCAGTTTATGGGGGAGTTGAGAAGTATTCACGATGGTCTTATTCCTAAACTAGGCCTAAACTCACTTCAACATTTGGGGCCACAGCTCCTTATCGCCGACACCACGTGTAGATTATGTAACAACTGCAAACTTCATGCCCACTGTCTCTGACCGCCGACATGTCATTGCTGCCACTGTCCAGCATGCTGAGCTTATTCAGAGGCGGTACTATATTCAACGACGCCGGCTCTTGACAGCTTATGGCGACGATTTTTCCGAGATCCTATCATCATCTTCCTCTTCGCGCACTGGGCCCTCTAATGACTGGGACATATCAAGCATCACATCCAGCAGCTCAAGCAGCTCCAGCTCCAGCTCCAGTAGTAACAGTCATTCCAACAGCAATAGTGATACTTCCCGCACATATTCCATATTCTCTGAGTCCGAAGCGGACACCGGACGTTCACTGCTTCTCCTCCGCAAGTCTTACATCCGTTCTATTCACCGTGCCCGATGCTTTTTAAGCGTACTCCTTAGTATCCGAGTTCTTTTCCCCAATGATGTTTCCAAGTGCAGTCAGCTTGCACTTGTTCTCCAATGCTACAAGTTTGATGACCACCCACGCTTCCGAAGAAATCTTCGTATCTCTCCCTCCAGCTTTGATGTAATCATGTCTCTAGTAGAGCACCATCCTATCTTCCAGACTCGGTCTCAGATCCCACAGCTGCCGATCCTATATCAACTTGCAATCGCTCTGTATCGGTTCGGTCATTTCGGGAGTGCGGTGTCAGTGGAGGCCGTTGCACAGTGGGCAGGATGCAGTGTAGGTGCTGTTGTCAAAGCAACGCGCCGTGTTATGATAGCAATTATACCGCTTCATGACCAGGCAATCCGATGGCCTAATTCTGGTGAGAAATGCGAAGCGTCAGACTGGGTTGAGAGTGTTTCATGCCATGCCTGGCGTCCCGGGTTTTGCATGGTTGATGGAACGCTCATACCCCTTGCATCAAAGCCGGGCCATTTCGGAGAACAATTTTTTGATCGCAAATCAAATTACTCGCTGAGCCTAACGGTATGATGATTACTCCTGTACTGGCTCTCCTACTTATTACCCCTGATTCTAGCTAGTGACACTGCCCAATCTCCGCATTATCGACTATGTCCTTGGTCCACCTGGCAGTGTGCATGACTCTACCACATTCAAAGAGTCTCGTGCATTCAAGGAATCTGATGTTCTCTTTCGGAATGGTGAATGGCTGTGGGCAGATTCCGCATATGGCCTTTCTCCCTGGTGTGTTGTGCCATACAAGAGTCCATATTCACTTTTGCCACACAATCGCCAATTCAATTATCATCTCTCTACCGTCCGTCGGCGCTTTCTCTTCTGTCCATTTAATATGCTAATTACTAAGTTATCATAGGTCCGGATTAGGTCCGAACATGCTGTTGGGTACCTCAAGGGTCGCTTTCAGTCTCTACGTGGTTTGCGCCAACAAATTAACTCCCAACGGGATTATGTGCTGGCACTGGCATGGGTACGGGCATGTCTTATAGTTCATGCTCTTGTCTCGCATGTTGAGGACTCCATTTATGAAGCTGATTTCTGGGAATGGATTGATGAGGGCATGGAAGGTCAGGAGAGTAATGAGGATGATGACCCGGTGTATGGTTTTGCCTGGAATGGAGCCTTGGAACCACTCCCAGGTGAAAATGCTGGACAAACCAAGCGCCGACTTGTTCAAGAAGCGCTCTTCACTGCAATATATTAGGATATTGTGATTACGTGTTACTCTCTTGATTTCCCTGAAAACTATCATCTGCATGGAAATTGAGACCTAACTCGTTCTCCAGCATGAATGGTAGACCTGCGGAGTTTGGTGCTGGCTGCCCAGGTCCATAAAGATGAGTGTTTAATGGAAGGCCCATGTGTGGTTGGTGTGTCATAGCTGCTGACTGCTGACCGAGCTCTGCAAGCCATAACTGTACCTTCAAGTGCTTCAACCTCAACTTTTCCGTTTTATACTCAATCATCTTGAGCTTTTGGGTGTGCAGCTGCTCTGCCTCACGCTGTGATTGTTGTTGATCAACCCGTGTTGCCTCTTGCAAATCTGCAATATAATCCCTTTTTGGTCGGGGGGTAGCCAAGCGTGAAGCTGTGCACGAGCTTTCCCCCTTCTTCTGGAGTGCTGCTGTAGGTAGGCTGAGTGGAGATTTGGCTAGATTCAGATGTGGGGAACCCGGAGCACAAGTTGGACTGGATGGTTCCGTGGGAGCCTGAGAGAATGGCAATTCTGAAGTTGGCTGGCTGACACCATCCTTCGTATCCAATTCCTAGTTGAGACCACTGTGATTAGGATTGTTGCTGGGAATTTTGAACTAACTACCATACTTCATCAGAGGAATCTTCAGCCACTTTAGTTGCGAGTTTTGGTGATCTATCATCTTTTGCGACAAGTTCCTCCAAATCTTTAGCCATTTTGGCCACACCGGAGTTGGAATTTGTGATTAAATCAATATCGTGCTTGGGTTGTTTGCTCCACCACTCATGAAGCATATCCCACCATGGAAATGCCTGCCGGACCTGTTCTGCCAATGCCAAGCATATCAGTAATATGAAGAAATATGTATAGCACCGAAAAGTGTATACAAAAAAAAAGGGTTTGACACACCGATTTTATTCTCATCCCAGTTCTCATCATCATCCTTCACCCCTTGTCCTGTTACTCGAAGTGATTTCCGATACTTTTGATATGTTTTCTGGAGCCTGAACACAAAGTTAGGCACAAGTGTGAAACAGGAAAGGGAATCCACACATACGTGTTGAGCCGACCCATCACTGAAGTGGCATAGCGGCCAGGTTCTGCTGTGTATGATGTGCACTCTGGCTCATTCTCAACATCAAAGCAAACCTTTGCAATGTTGCGGTAATAAGTAATCTTTGCCTTGCCGCCTACAACCTGGGAAAGGAGTCAGAAAGCAAGAAGAATCTTCTTTGAGCATACTATAGCCAGTTTACCTTCTTGCGGCCTTCCTCCTTGGCCTGGCCTGCGGAGTCGCTGAATATTTTCAGGCGGATGTCAGGATTCTCAGCAAGATGTGTGACAAGGCGGTCTGTCCAACGAGGATTGGCATCCCACTGGATCTTCTGGACTTCCAACTTGACTGGAGTTTCCGTGAGAGAGATCCCTGCAGAGCGGCGGCGCTTCGGAGTAGACTCGGCAGGGTGAGAGTGATCTCCCTGAACCCGCTTTGGAGGCATAAGGTGCTGATAGCAAGAGCAAAAGATGGGACTAATTCAGTGAAGGAACTGTACAGTCTGCAACGGACATATGGATATTAAGCCCGAGTTCGAGTTTGGAGTTTAGACTACTCTAAAGTACAGCTTTGGCCTTCGGAGGCACGTTCTCAAGTTTAGCTAAACTGACAGTTTAGAACCGGTTTAGGTGCAGTTTAGGATCAGCAGTTTTGATGCACTTTAGGCTAGTTTAGCCCATCGTGAAACCCCCTATTGAAACCTTCTAGCTCTCGCGATGCGAAGCAACAGACGGCATCCCAAAGATCTATAGTTTGGCTGTTCCAGAAAAGCCCCCGTTCTGACACCAACCCGCCAAGTACGCCTCGCCCTGAAGAGTCCCTGCCGATCATGGCTCAGTCATCCCTTTATGATCTGGTATCGCCACCATCTCCCACCAGCTCGCTGATGAGCATTGAGCCTTCTACAAAATCAAGTAGTCATACTCCATCGGAGACAGAGTTGTTACCTCCGACCAGGCCAGCTGGCAGTGGAAAGAGATCGACTTCCGCCGCCACGAAGGCCAATATCCAAGCCGCATCCACTGCCTTCAAGTTTTCGCATGTTCCGAACCTCCCCCGCATTCCAGGCTTGCTTGCCAGATTCCAATAGAGGCTGGTAACCTGCCTACTTGCCAGGCTGCTTCAGGCCTCTGAGGTTCAGATATTGTTTCCGCAATTAGCGAGAAATATTTCTAACGTCTGCTTCATTCATGCAGAATATCAGTGATAAGAATGAAGCTTTGGTGGAGTTGGACGAAGAGGTGCGAAAAGCATACACCGTGATACTACTGCCGCTTGAACAGTGGATGGAACAAATCCCTCCTCAAGTGGTCTTATTGGTCAAAGAATTTCACTTGTATGTGGACGGTCGGAAGTACGGATTCAACAGTTAGAATCGCTCAAGCGTGCAAAGAAGAAAATCTCAGCTACCCAGCTAGTGCAGGAGATCAATAACGCGAAAGCGCTAATTAGTTCTGCTATCACTCGTTTTTCTGTGCGTTAGGTATATGTAATTGCTGTTTACTTTTGGCTGACTGTTGTGTCTGCCGTAGGTGATGACAACAACCTCAAATCTCGAGTCCTTCATACAACCCAAACAATGGAAGAACGTTTGTTTGTTTGTTTAGTTGTTTACTTTTCTCTCAGCAGTTTTTAGAGGTACTCTCGAAACTGGCGAAATCAAATGCTGAATATTTCTCCGTGAAAAGCAAGTCAGAATGCCTCACAAGGTTCCGTGGACCTTGGCACCTTTATTGATCTTTCCTTCCACTCGCTTCATCATCATCACCCCTTCGTCATGAATTATATGGGCATTCAAGTCTACAGTATTTCCGGCGAGTTTTCTGGTCGCGTCATTCCATTAAGTGAGGATGCACTCATTGCCCGAAAGCTTATGGAGGCCAAGTTATCCGAGTTGCCGAACATGCTTAGTGGTAAGGTCATCACCGGTGACGCTGAATTCCACAGACCCGATATTCGTAGCGGGATCGTGGCATGCACGGCACTTTCCCTCGATGGTTGCCGGGTTGCACTCGGTTTTGGTAGCGGGGTTATCGAGGTTGCCGACATCGACCATCAGAGAATGATCTCTCGATTTCAATGCAGTCCCACTAATCTCCCGGTTTGGATCGAGTTTTGCAGTGACAACAACCAGATTGTGACTGAGGAAGTAGCAGTGGAAATATCACCATCCTTGACTCTGGTATACAACCCCAAAGGGTTGGTACTCTTTCTGGTGGCCCTCGTCCTGCTGTAACCGCTGTGTCGGGCAATGGAAATTTCGTTGTACGAGTCCCTCGAAATCTCCACTACGATTGGTACGAGGAAATGGCACTCTTGGATGTTTCTGTTGAGCCATCCATTCGGAATCTCGCATCACTTTCCTCTGGTGGGCCACCTGAATCCCATCTTTCTTCGGCCACTCCTCTCCGTCACATGGTTGGGTTTTCGCCCAGAAGTCGATATATTGGTGCTTATGGCAGGAACCACCCATTCGTGTGGTCAACAAATTCTTGCCAGTTGATCGCTCGATATCCCGTACCAGACTTCATGACTTGGGCTTTCAATACCGGTATTATCCCCCCTCATCATATCTTGTCCCAAATCCTATAGTTGCTCCATGTATATCAGATTCCGCATCAGACCCAGGCCACGACTCTGATGAGCCCTGGTTGAGGTATCCCTTTTATAACCTCTCGCCTGACATGCAGCACAAAAGCACGCGTAATGAGATATATTCCTCTGCGGCAGGAAGGATCCCATTGGTTACCACAAGCCGCACTGTATCGGCCCTCTGGTTCAATGGAAAGGTAAAACTCATCCTCCCAGAAGTGTACCGTCCAATCGTACGGAACCCGCGCAACATCGGCACTGAGGAAATTTGGTATGGTGACCAAGTGTTCGATGACGACAAAGAACATGATGAAAAAGGGCGTAGTGAAGATGACGATGAAGAACGAGAAGGTGGTGGTAGCGGTGATGATGATGGTCTTGGTGTATTTTATCTTCCTCGGACCAGCAGGGACGGAACTCGGTTCAGGGCTGCATGAAAGTTCCGATTGTTGATATTAGTCAAGTCGTCTAATGCGTCTGTGTGTGTTCCTCTTATCAAGTGGTTGAGTGGTTCTCTGATGTAATTGTAATTGTGCGCGCCATCGAGTAAATCTGCGTCTAATTGTGCTGCTGTCGAAGGCTACAATGTTAGGATGGTGCCTGGGACGATGGTGCGTTTCTGGAAACATGAGCTTAAGAGAATGGGATGCTTACAATACCAAGTCGAACTTATTACCAATAAAGCGAAGGATTTGGGTTGGAAATTTTTTTGCGTTCTGTATAGAAGCCTTTTTCTTAATTAGTGTGTCGCTAAGCAGCCACAACATCAGTTACTGAGATCTAGATCAGTGTCAATGATGTACTTCCCGGAGAAGTTAGTGTGTGGAGTCTCGGCCAGGTTTATCTCGCGAGGCCGTAGCTTTCCTTACACGCAATCTCTCTCCCTTCAACTCAGATGGCAGCTATCCTACTGGCTCTTACTCCCGCTTGGGAATTATCCATAGAGGTATACAGGTATTTCCAAAGGAAGGGGCAGGTGCGGAAGGAAAAGAGAAGAAGGCAGAAAGAGATGAAAGGAAGGTTTCGCGAGATAGCGGAGACGGTGACTCGCATGTGTCTCACGTCTCAACTGCTTATCGACACTCTCACTTGCTGTTCCAATGTAGCTAACAGACTGACGGAATGCCGCCGGTTTCTTCGGCGCTGAATTTCCCTCCCACTCATGCCGGAGTTCATGGGTGCGCATGACTCGGGGGTGGGGGCATGGCTGCCCCAACCATTCTCCCAATGAGCCGGCCAGCGGAGATGGCCCACTTGACAACTCGGTTACATAAATGTTTCCCAGCCTCCAAGCGAAGCGATTCTCCGCCGGGGGTAAATACCGTAGTGCAACCGCTTCCTGGTCATTTTCGTTCGGCTCAGGGAACGGCACCCAACTGCTCCGCCGATTGGCTTCCGACGGCAACGAAGCGGTAGTTGCTCCCACAGTCATTAGCATCGAACTCATTCTACTGAGCATCCCCTCATCCTCTGAAAATTCAGTTGCTCGGAGGATGAATAGTATGAAGTAACGAGGCAAAAACTCAGCCATAAAGGCCATACTCCGTACCACACGCGACCGTTCGAGTGAGGTGTGGAACCAGCGATGGAACTGACGCGGAAAGGGTAAGTGAAGAACATAAGGATGAAGCGCCCCGCTTTCGGACATGCTACTCAAGCTGAAGATAGATAGGCCTTTGTGGGTAGGTCAGGATTAATCAAGAGGTGTAATTTTCTGGATATTGGTCAATTTTTTACGGTTGGTTTATTGGAGTGGCACTCCTAATACCCCTCGATGGTGAGCACATCAAATACATTAAGCTATGCTGTGCCAAAGGGTCCTAGAAGGGTGCGTAGATGATTGCGAGCCAGCATCCTCCTGGGTGGATGAGGTATGCATATAGAGGGGGGTGCCCAAAGAACGCGAGTTGTCGAGATACTGAGTCGAGGCATCTCAATTGAAGCACGCTGTGGCTTATCAAACTTGACTCAACAGGCGAGGCATGCAGGGCCCGATTCTAGCGCATACGTGGCACAAGCAGGCCAGCTGCACGATGTATATATATCAGTGATTCCCGCCCCATGCAACGTTGGAGGCACTTCGTGTGCATGAACAGTGCGTGATGATCTGGGACCAAATACCGTATGCATCGCTGTGAGCTATAGTAAAATAAATCAAGCGCTGACATTTGATTCGCCTTGATTAGGTGCAGTCTCTGAAGCATCTGTGATTCTTCGATGGCAGATAGTGTTGCCTCTGGCCTTTCATCACACACTCTATACGTCCAAGATAAAGGGCATTTCAGACCTATCGTTCGGGGATTGGTTTAGAGGGGATTATATACACCATAGAGGCTGGAGTCCTGCAATCGCCAGATTCGGGACACATAATAAATTCGGACAACTCCACTACAATACAGCTACTGAATGACGAAGGTCAAGCAATCAGCAATCCCGCACTTCTAGTAGGCAGGACTCCAGCCTCTATTAGAACACTTCTAGCACAATGAGCGACTCCAATTTTGGCCAAGTTGACTGTACGCTCCTCCCTGGTAGTTCTACTCATACTAACGTGAGATATGCAAAGGGACGAGTGAACTCTGCACCCTTGAGCAAGGGGTGGACCCTCCATTATGATCCCCCCCAGCAAATCCTCGTGTCCGAAAACCGAGTAACCTGGGTAGTAACATGCCATGGTATGGCATCTCATCTACTACTCGAATACTTGGGTGTCCTTTATCTCTTTTCTAGTCAACGGTACTAAATATGAAGGATCGCCTAAACCCAATGTTCGCGAGGCTAAGTGGTCCGCCAGCGAGAAGGCGTTCAGGGCACTCACTAAACTTGAAAATTAACGCACGCCTGCCTTCTCTACCTACCTTCTGAACTCCGCACTCTTAATGCCTTCTACCATGTAATCGTGCTGGAAAACAGTCGCTCATCTTAATCGGTAGTTTCGGACTACAACATGCACTTCTGTGATTGGATCCAAGTTCGCAGGATTGTTCCTTGCATGGTTTATATAATGAGTACACCTCTAGTCTATGTGGCACTTGTAGACGAAACAATGGCATTGGGAACTCTTTGGATATTGTGTTGTGTATGTACGAACCATCTTCCAAGGAAGCCCTTATCTGTTGAAATAACCACCTCAGCCTATCAGGGCGTATGGTGTAATGGCTGTGCATGCTGAGTTCGCGATCCAGAAGACTGGAGTTTGATTCCCAGTATGTCCAACTTTTAGGTTTCCCTAAAAGACCACGTGCAAATTCCAACATTATCTTGGTGACCTGAGTGTCCCTGGACCGGTTGAAGGAGCTTCAGTTTTGTCTCAGAACTAGAATTGACCTATGCATGTATCGAATGGGGTCTCGAGCTATTGGCCATTCCCTGGCTCAATTCGAATAGATGTGGCTGAGTTGAATCATTAGCGATGACCTTATCTAAATATAATTAGTGATCCTTCGCTCTCAGCTAGAAACTGTCCGGCAACAGTACTATTCCAAGTCGTTATCGAGTAATCTTACATCGCGATGCAATGCTGGATTTATGAAATTCGACGTTTTCGATATTTCGACCTTCTGAGTGTAAAATTTAAAAGAACATAGAACCGAATCGTTATTCTCTCGGTGTGAGTTAACTTTCATCCATGCTGAGCTAGCGTGCCGCTCGCTACTCAAGAATATTTCATCGTCTGTGCATGCCTTGCCCTTCCCAAGCCGCTTTTGTTTGGCGTCCCTCATTCATTAGCCCCTATATATCATACGATTTAGCGCCATACCCTGATATATCTGCATGCGCAAGCGCTACGTTTGCATAATCAATGCTGTGCCAATTTATTATATGCAGCCCCCTGTGGGTGGCGCATTCCAACGTAGACAGATCCGCAGTTCGCCTCGAGAATCGCTTTTGGTTAGTATGTGATTACGCATAATGGATGTCAGCCTATCTTGACTCATGTCGCCATAGTGATCGATAACAGGAGTACTGTCCCATTACGACCGTAGGTTCATTCCCACGGGATTCGGGGATTGCCGGCTCCTTCTTGCGTAGTTCATCCCTCAGTACTGTGACATGTGCCGCACATCACGTGAAAATATTGAACTGAATAAAAACTGAATTAATTTGCTGTTTCCGGCAACTCCCGGATACCGTGGGAATTAATCGTCAATATATTCATCTGTCTCGTTGTGACATGTGACTGAACCAATGGGACAGTAACTCGTCTCCCCGCCCCTGCTGGGTGACTGAGGAGGCTGCCACTACATTGATTTTTTGTCATGTACTTGTTGCTGAGTTCAATGAAAGGGTCACCCAGATCCGACCATAAATGTCACTCCCGGATGCACTGGCCGATCGGACGACCCCAAAAATCTTTTGTGCTCGCTAAACCCGGCTACCTGACGTACTTGATGTGCGGTATAGAAACATTGTTAGCCAATCGCATCTGATAACGAGCTCGGGCCAACCTGGCTAATCAGGACTGTTTATGCCGAATGTGGTTTGCTTACCCCCTCTCGGTGAGGGGACAACGGGCGGCTCAAACGGTATAAAGTAAAGCGTCTCGAGCACGGGAGTTCTTCAGCAACAGCTATGAAGACTGTTCTATACACCTCTAAATCATCGATTCGAAATGTCGGGCTGATAAGGTGTCTTGAAGGCTGACTCTGCCCTAATCCTTGCCTTCGTCATGGGTAAACGGGCCCAACGATTGCCAACAACGGGTTAGCCGGGACTTGAACGGACCGCCGATGATTACTGAGTATACATCCGAAAAGACCATTGGGGATGAATGTACTGGAGGGCAACACGTCTGGGTGAGAATAATGGTTGTGATTGCCATTTTTGCCACCGAGATACCAACATATCGAGATCCGCCCTCAGATACTTCTTCAGATATCCCCTTTCGAATACCAAGGTCATCAGGAATTGGACCGCTCATCCATCCTTCATTTGTGCTGTTACATAGAAGAAAGGTCACATACCTTGCGCACGGACGTACGATCTACATGATTGCCCATCGTTCCCTTCTTGGTAACTCTCTTCCAGCCGCATCGCAGAAGGCTTAAAAGCCGTAATTTTTCCCTCAGTTCGCTTGCTCAGAACTGAGGTGAGATCTCCTGCCTTCGCTATCTTGGACAATAACTAAAACCTTTGTATATCCTAGCGCTTACACTTTGCCAGGTATATAGATAAGATTTAATTCATTTAATTCGCTTGCTAAGAACTGAGTGCTTACATCTTGCTAGTATTCTCACATGGGCGACGGTCTGCAGTTCGCGCCATGCCTCTAGCTGGGCGAAGAAGTTCTGGGGGAGCACAAGTCATGCATCGCAGGCGAAAACTGTGCAGACCAACAACACATGGAGAAAATCTCTACGCCTCCAACCGGCTGATATGCGGATCCCCCCTTAAGGTCGTTATTCGCATTTTCCCTTGACCCTGACAAACCTTCAGTTCACCAGATAACGCGTCGCGGTAAGCACAGAAAGTGGGACCTTCCCGAACAACTCATGGCATAACACCCAACGAGGACTCCCTGGTGCTCTTTCAAGTTACTTGTGTATTGGCATGTGCTTGCCCAACGTCCAGTGGGTTGCTCTAATTCTTGATCCAGCAGCTCCAAGAAAGGTGGTATTTCCTCGGAAGGATTCCTGATGAAGATAATTAAGTATACGCAAAGGATAGAATACAGATGCACTTACTGAGAGTCCTTATATCAGGACGAAAACTAGGATCGTAATTCAGGCACCTGATAAGGTACCCCAGGACGGCAGATGGAGGGATAGATTCGAAGGGTGATCGTCGCGCCTTGGTGGTAGTGGAATGGACGCTTGCCACGGAAGATATCGGCGAGGGTCAGTTCGTCTGAACTGTAGACCATTGGCGAGATCTGGATTGCCTGCATAGCTACGCACCCGAAGGCCCAAACATCGCTCTGTCTACTGCAGGAGGATCCACCTTTCAACAATTCCGGAGCTGCGTACCAACCACATGGCCTCCATTGTCTGCGTCTGGGATTTAGATCATGGAATACAGGCTCTTCCAATATCCCGCAGTTGTGGGTGGCCATTTTGGTCGGCTACAATGTTGTCCTAGATATAGATTATGTAAAGGATGGGTGGGCAACATCTAGGCGCGCAAGCTACGCAACTTGCTGGTTTTACGCCACCACGAACTATGGCCTGTGCAGGCAGAAAATCAAGGCCTCTTCCAATGTTTAGAAGCTGTGTCCCACCCCTATGAGAACTACTAAGAGTTACGCTCACCATGGTCAAATGCTCATCATCAGTCATGGTTTGTTTCGGGTTAAGATAATCAGATAATCCCCTTCCACCTCGCGCCGGTATGACACCAAGACCCGGAGTCGGTTTCACATTCCCCGAACCACTGTTAAGGATAAACCCGTAAAATTGAACGACATGTTCGTTCGTTAATGGGCTCCAAATCTTAATCTCGCGAATGAATCGCTTTGCTTGTATTATTAGATTAGCGGTCGGCGCCCTATGATATGATCTTCCCACATACCAGGATGAAGTTGCTGTTGGTATGCGAAAAATCCAAAGACCTCGTCTGGAGGATATGTAACTTTTAGAGGATGTGGTGGGACTTGTACAGCGTCATAATTCCGCAGCGTTTGCCTGAGCACGGCATTTTGAGTGGCTCCTGCCGTCATATCCGTCAACTATCAATCGTTCACTGAAACTGGTAGAGGAGTTCTCAGTGATAAAAAAGTGCTCATAAGGGTTCGAAACTCTTTGGTACCAATCCAACACATATCCGAACTCGTTCAACCGCAGAAGCACAATTCAGTTATGACGTAATCAACTCTTCATCCCACGCCGACCAATTCTGGCTCAGGGGGTCTCACCAACTCGAACGTGAAAACTAGGTACTCCATCACCTGCCATAACCAGATGTGAACTCTCTGTTGGCGCCATCGCGGCAGCGAGCATGTCTCCACACGACATACCTTGGCATTCAGATCTCGCACAACGCTTAGCGTCGGAAGCTGACCTCCAACTTGATCCCAGCCAGTGGGCAGCTCATGTTGCCGTGAGCCCTCGTGGTGTCTTGTTTGACCCTCACTGAGAAATCTTGCTCAGAATGAAGGAATTATCGAGGTCTTATATGATGTTTCGGAACCGGCTGAGGCGGATCACTTTATTGAGGTTTGTTAAAATCACCAACATAGCACCAGCATCTCACCTAACTGCACTGACAGCGGGTCAAGCAGCAGTTGCACATTTTACGCGATTTACGACACGAAAACATTGTAGAGTTTCAGGGGTGGACGGTACAGGAAGATGGTAATTTGTTCACTGTAGTCGCCATCTCAGGGAAATGCGAGGGTGGTGAGGTGATGGGCTTTCTTCATGCACACAAGGGCGCAGATCGCCAGCAATTGGTACGTTATATATTGAAAATTCCAAGAGACAGTCTAGTTTACATCGAGTACAGGTTTTGGGAGTCACTGTTGGCCTGGATTTCCTACACTCCAAGAAAGTCGTTCATGGCAACCTTAACCCCGTTCGATGCTCTCTTCGACTCCCCTGCCGGATACTTCTCTCTAACTCGCTTGGTTCTCTAGAGGAAAATTTTCATCGATTGTACTTCCGAGCGCCCTGTCGCTAAGATTGGAGGTTTTGATCTGTGCTACTTGAGCGAAACGCCTGTATATCCTAACGAGGAATACTGGTCATTCCTGCTTATACGTTATACCGCACCTGAAGTGTTAACAGGAGACGAAGTTGAGTGCGATATGCGCAGTGATGTTTGGTCCTACGCATGCACATCCCTGGAGGTGCTCTGGTTTATTATTACCATGTAGCTTGGTATCTAACTCTTCCCAGATACTTTGGGGAAATCCTCCATACACCTCTAAGAATATCTGGGACGATCTTCTCATACCTCAGGCGGCCATGGATGGCGTTCCCCCGTACGAACGGATAAACTTGGATAGTTTTGAGCGTGTTCTGATGGGCTGTCTGGAGTATGAGCCCAGCAGGCGGCCCCCCATCAACCAGGTCAATACGCAGCTAGAGTATGCAAATTGCTATTTGCTTAGATTTTTCGAGGGTAAAACTTACATCCAGTCCCAGGGGACTTTCTCTGTTCAGCCGCATAGAACGCGAATGGATGCAAGATGAGCTCCTGCCAACTCCACCCCCCTGTGAGTATATCTTCATGAGCTGTTTTTTTTAGTACTTAGGCTCGGCCGCATACACAGCATTTCGGCCATCACGTGCGTTACTGGGGCCTTCGGCACCAGTTGGGGTGGTGCCCATTCATCCAGTTTTTCCACAACAACCGCCACCTGTCATACCTGGACTGACTCCCACACCCCGACAACGTAGGGAAGATACTGAATCTGAGAAAAGTCCTGTTGTCCCGCATCTAGTGGACTCAGCGGGATATCCTCCCGTCTTTCCACCACCAGGACCAGGCGTCCCCACCATTCCGCTTACCATGATGAATGTTCCCCTGCTCCCAACTCAAAGTCCAACAATTCTTCCTCAGACTGCCGTTGTTCCCCTCTCTCCAGAAGGTTCCATTGTTCCGGATCAGTTGAATGATCTGCCAAGCGTTCCGCCCCCAGCAGAAGCAGCGCCTGTAGTTGTGCCTCCCGTTGCTGTTCCTGGAGCCCCTCCCCCTTTGAAGGTTGAGGCAGAGCGTCCCACAGAGGAGGAACGCGTACAAATTGGGCCAAGTCCGGAAGCACCCCGTCCACTTCAGCAAGAGGTTCCACCTCAAGCAGATGTCCCACCCCCAGCCGCCCAATCGCCGACGCCGATCTACGAGGGACATCCGCAAGCCATCATTTATAATCACCCCAATAACCCCCCTGCTCAGGAGCAACCGCCTTCAGCACTGGAGATTGTTCGACTGGGCACCCCGCATTCTTCTCAGTCCACACAGGTTGTTCGCACACAATCTCCTACACTTAGGACAGAGCCACCTCCGGTGGTTCGTCTTTCTGAGGCACGACCTCCACTGACTGCATACGATGATGTGGCACATCCAGCGACGCCTTCAGCGCCAGCGCAAACAGTCATAAATATTGGAGAATCGGTCTCTCATCGAACGGAATCCACACGATTTCCTTCCACACTCTCACGGGCGAGCACGCCGCGTTCTCGTCACCGCGCTGCGACCCCAATTCACCGAGCCACTGATGCCGCGCAACTTAGTGTGTATCCGCCTCCGACTATTACAACCCAATATGAGCCTGGCAGAAGGTCACCACCTGAGTCCAGATCAAGGAGACGGCATCGGACCTACAGTCGAGACGGTCACCGGCGATCCCGCACCCCACGGGACCGTCGTTCGCGTACCCGTTCTACATATTTTTCACGATCACCTCATCGTCCTATTGTGATTGAAGGGAGCACACGTCGTTCGAGATCTCGTTCTGCACGACGATGGCGTTCGCGTTCGCCAACCACTCGTGACAGGCTGGCAGATGCAGCACTTTCTGGGGCCACTGGTGGTGCAATTAGTCAACTGGCTGACACCTTGCTATACCGTGAACCTTCGCCACGCCCTCACCTCTCCCGTTCTCGTTCCCGTCGCATGTACTCTCGCTCTCGCTCTCCACGTCGTCATCGTCGATCGAGGTCTGCTTCCTCAGGCCGACGTCCTGGTGACTATGAACACACTGTCCATGTAATTCCTGCACCCACTATAACACGTCCACATATACCAACTCCCACTCCCCTAGCCCATTCGCTCTTCGAAAGTGTGCAACCCGCCCCCGTGCCACCTACACCTGTGCGTCCGTCTGTGAGTGGCGGTTGGATTGAGCCTTATGAAGCATTGCCTCCGTCCGTCCGTCCTGAAACCTTACGACGACGTCCCGATATGGTCAGAGTGCGTTCGACTGGCCGCAATTCTCCTAGCACCATCCGCGTTGCTTCACCTGCAAGTCTCCGAGCCCGAGCACGTCCCGATATTGTCAGAGTGCGTTCTACTGGCCGTACTTCCCCTAGAATCATCCGTGTTGCTTCACCAGCAGGCCCCCGAGCCCCACCAATGCCCTCGCAGGTCTCTCAAATACATGTTCATACTGCGCCGTTGCCTTTTCTTGTTCTTTTCTGCTTTTTCTTTTTCTTTTTCTTTTTCTTCTTTTTCTTCTTTTTCTTTTTTTTTGGCGGAAGCACCCTAGGCTCTCGCAATACATGTTAACTGTATGGGTGTTCTTGGTACCCCGCTGACGTCATTCTTGCATCACAGGATCACAAATCAATTCGACTTCCTCAGAAGGCGATCAATTTCACGAGATTTATGGACCTTGGCACCCTTTTTTCATAAATTATATTTCTGGCGGTCGCGTCATTCCACTAAGTGAGGATGCACATTCATTGCCCAAAGCTTATGGAGGCCAAGTTACCCGAGTTGCCGAAGATGCTTGGTGGTGAGGTGACGCTGAATTCCACGAACCCACATGCGCGGCGCTTTTCCTCGATGGTCGCTGTAGCGAAGTTGCCGACATCGACCATCGGAGAACGATCTCTCGATTTCAGTGCAGTCCCACTAATCTCCCGGCCGGTTTGGATCGACAACAACCAGATCGCGATTGAGGATAGCAGTGGAAACATCACCATCCTTGACTTCGGTATGCAACCCCTAAGGGTTGGTACTCTTTCTGGTAAGTCCTGGTCCTGGGTAGTCCTGGTCCTGCTGTGACCGCTGTGTCGGTTGTACGAGTCCCTCGAAATCTCCACTACGATCGGTACGGGGAAATGGCACTCTCTGTTGAGCCATCCATTCGGTATTTCTCATCGCCTTCCTCTGGTAGCCCCCCTGAATCCCGTCGTTCGACCACTCCTCTCCGTCACATGCTTGGGTTCTCACCCGGAAGTCGACAGGTTGGCGTTTGCGGCGGGAACCACGCTTTCGTGTGGTCAACAGATTCTTGCCAGTTGATCGCTCAATATCTCGTACCAGACATCACGACTTGGGTCCTCAGTTCCAGTGTTATGTTCCCCTCATATCTCGTCCCGAATCCTATAGTCGCTCCTTGTATACCAGATCTGCATCAGACCCAGGCCATCACTCTGATGAGCCCTGGTTGAGGTGCCCAAAGAACATGACTTGTCGAGGTACTGAGTCGAGGCATATAGGGCCCAATTCTAGCGCATACACGGCACAAGCAGGCCAGCTGGCGATGTATATATATCAGTGATTCCCACCCCATGCAATGTTGGCCTCGCGTGCATGAACAGCGCCCAAATATCGTATGCATCACCGTGTGAGCTATAGTGAAATAGATCAGGCGCTGACATTCGCCTTGATTAGGCGAGTTCGTTGGCAGAGTCGGTAGTGGTAAAGTTCAACGGACAACGCGGCGAAGCTCTGATCAACAGGTGCATTTCCGAGAAAACCGAGAGGTTTACATCAGAATAGGGGGGGGGGGGGCATCCTAAGCCCCCACACCAAAAGGACAGCTGTAGCGGGCTCCGGAGTGCTCTTTCAAATACGCCAGGGACGATGTTCTGGGCACTCAAGCTGCCATTTGAACCAGTAACACCAACTCACTGACTATGCAGTACTTTGTCTTTGTCTAGAGCTCGGGTCATGAGCACGGCTCCTAGCGCTGCCGCTTGAGGGGATTGGTTTAGATAAATTCGGCCAACTCCGCACATTCAATTCAAGAGAAAAAAAACAAAACAAAACATAGCTACCAGCGGAATGCCAGCAACAGTGAAGGGTGCATGCCAGACATACATGCTGGCATGTTAGCTCCGCTAGCACACTCCTGAACTATTTGCCAAAGATCGATTGGTAATGCCCTCCTAAATTGACGTGCTATGGTTCAAGCCCTTACTTATACCTGCCGTGTATCGTCATTTCTGCTTCATTACTAAAGTACACCAAAAGGTATTACTGCGCGTATAACAATAGTGTCAATCTTGGGAGGGCGTTTATGTTGGCATTCACGTCAAGCTGCACTAATTTTTTCGATTCCTCTCCATCGATCCTTGCACTCCTACGCTCGACCTCCTTCACAGTCACGGCGAATTTTATTTTTATGACATATTCCCAAAAGGCTAAACAAAGATAAATATACATTCATACAAAATGCAAGTTAAATGTGTAGATTCATAATGCTGTCACGACTGCCAATCAACCCATTCCTGGATTACCTCGCGGCTTGATCGTTCCTTTGGGGGGGCATTCAAGCAGCTTTTGATCTCTGCGCTGTCGATGGGTTGAAGGCTGTCAGTCGTGTAGGCTGGAATCTCAGTCACGAGGATTTCAGTTTCTTTGTCAATTGTATCATATGGTCGCTGGTCCGTCATGATCTTGTAAAGCAGAACTCTCAGATACGATGCCAATCCCACAAGGAACGACGCATACTCACTTCTATCGAAACACAGCCGAACGCCCAAATATCGCCCTCATAGCTACATTGGAATGCGCCACCGTCGTTCTGACGAAGTTCGGGGGCAGTATACCGTATACTCTGGAATGTGATACCTGTATCGCGTAGGAGAGTTTGCAGTCCGTAGTCACATAGCACCGCCGTACCGTCAAATTTGATCAGAATGTTTGTCTACGCGAGAAATTGGTCAAGAGATAAATTAATCAGCGGGGAAGCCACATGTACTATGTACTTACTGGTTTGAGATTACCGTGCACTGTTTTTGCATCATGTAAGTAGTTTAAGCCACAGAATATATCGAAAACCTGGAAGAAATGAGAGTACAACTCTGAGCAGTGTCAGCTCCTAGAACGCACCAATTTATTGCGATCCGCCTTCGGATACTCCGCCAGATAGGACTTGACATTCCCTCTCGGATACCAAGGAGAAACCAGACCAACGTTGAGGTTCCCATCATCATCTAATCTCATCATCCATCCTTGCATTGGCGCTAGATTAGTCCTGGCGAAGTTGTTCCAGTTCTTTCCCTGGGCGAAGAAGCGCTTCGGGAGCATTCAAGCGTACTTCTTAGGAAGCTGGGCAGACCAACGTACACGCACAAAGTCTCTGCGCTCCCATTCAGCTGTTATGGGGAGCTTTCGCAAGGTTTTTATTCGCACATCCATTCGGTTCTAATGGAGCTTCAGTTCACGAATAAGGTATGCTTCAACGTGAGCCCGAGACGTACCTTGCATCCACGACGTAATACCGAATGAGGACTTGTACGTACTATTTCATCCTTGTCGTCATCGCCGTCGCTCCTGTAGTCCTTTTCATTCGCCCAATACCCTGTAGGTTCCCGTAACAATAATTTTACCAGCTCCGGGAACGGTGTAAGTGTTTCCTCGGACGGGATTCTGATGAACATGGTTGACATATGTGGGTGTAGGATACCCTTGAACCCACCCAAATTTGTCGAGAAGAGTCTTGATATCAGGACGACGGTGAGGATCGTAATCAAGGCAGCCGCTAAGAATTTCCTCCATAGGAGTTGAGGACCTCGGTTCGAAGGGCGGTCGTTTAACTTCCACAGCACGAATTACAGCCCCAGTATTCCGAACAAAGTGGTATGGCTGCTCTCCACGGAGGATCTCGGGGAGTATCAGTTCATCCAGACTGCGGACGAGTGGTTAGATTCGCACCTGCATAGCCGTACACCCGAAGGCCCAAACATCGCTGGCTGCACAGCGAAAGGGGTATTCATCCATCAACAATTCTGGGGCCGCATACCGCAATGTCATCGTGTGTGTCTGCCTAAGTATGCGGCGATTAGGTTGGTTGGTGGAGGATGTTCCAAAATCACACAGTCGTGGGACATCGTTTCCGTCGACTACAACGTTGTCCTAAATAGAGATCAGAAACTAGGGAGATAAGACTTAGATGCACGAGCTACTTGACTCACTGGTTTGATGTCACCATGCACTACGGACTGTGAATGCAAGTAGTCGAGACCTTTCGCAATCCCCTGAATCTGCGTCGCACCCACGGTGAAAATTACGCGGACTGGATGACCGTGGTTACACTTACCAAAAGCAAACGCTTATCTCCAGTGGGGCGCCGTACACCAAGGAAAGTTAATATGTTTCCACCTTCGCACCAGCTTGATACCAGGCTCGGAGTCGGGCGTTCTGTATTCTTCGACTCATAGAGGATCCATCCGTAGAATCGGACAACGTTCTGGTGATCTAACGGGCTCCAAACTTGAATCTCATGAATCAATCGCTTTGCTTGTACTAAATCAGTGATCAATAATTTGTGACGTGCAACATACCGAGATGGAATCGTTTTCAATACACGAGAAATCCACATGTCTGAAGACCTTCACACAAACTGGCGTCGTGGTCTGTATGATCGATACAATTTAATCGCAACGCCCAAAACCCGGTGAAACGAACGTTTGTGTAGGTCCCTCGATAAACATCTCCGTAGCCCCCTTGCACGGGTCTTGCATGATCTCTTTGTACTTTATTATCGAGCCTGCAATAGTCCTTCAGCATTTCGCGGACGTAGCGGACCACGGACTCCTGGGTAGCTTGCGCTGTCATGTCTGCCAGTTAGAAGCTATCACTGGAACGGGAGAAATTTTCAGCAGACTAAATGATTGCGATATGAGGAAATCACGAAAACGTAATAAAGAACGTTACTGATGTACCGGATCATGTACATAAGCGCTTTGTAATAAAGAATCACGAGGATGTTCAATTGTCCCTTGACTTCGTACTAGTAATACTATATACTCTATCTTGTCCAGGAAGGTCTATCTGAACCTCACAACGATAATCTTTGGGTATGACAACCGGCCTTCTGTAACTCCCCAAACTCTCGCCCCTTCGACTCAAACCCGTCGTACCGTGGCGAACATGTCTCTCCACAACACGCCTTTGCGTTCAGATATCAAACGTTTGGTATCCCAAGCCGCCTTCCCACCCCTTGATCCTCGCGAAATCCAGCTAAATCTCAGCCAGGGGACAGTCCAGCCAGCTGTGAGTCCTCGTGATCAGTATCCTGTTTAACCTCCACCAAGGCATTCCGGCAATGCTAGCAGAGTCAAGAAGTCATCGAAATCCTATACGATGTTTACTCGCTGACACAACCTGAGGTCAATCACTTTATTCAGGTCCGTTTGGAAGTCGCCAACGCAGCACCAGTATCTCACCACTCAGCTATACTGATAGCGTGTTGGACAACAATTGCGCATCTTACGTGATTCAAAGCATGAGAATATCGTGAGGTTTCTAGGATGGATGCTGCCGGAAGATACGAGTTCACTTCGTGTGGACGCCGTCTCAATGAAATACGAGGGCGGCGAGGTGATGACCTTTCTTCGGACACAGGAGGATAAATCCCATCGACAGAAACTGGCACGAACACTAGTTTTTGGGGTTTCCAAGGGCCTAGCACACTTGCATTTCAAGGGGATCGTTCATGGCAACCTCAATCCTGTCCGTTCGATGCCCTCGCGAGAATCCCTCCCTAACTTTGTTCTTTAGAGGAAAATTTTTGTCGATTGTACTCCGGAGGGTCCTGTCCCTAGGATTGGTGGTTTTGACTTGTCTTATTCCCTTAGAGAAACACCTATCCTTCCCAAAGCAGAACATAGGACGTCTAGGTTTATACGTTACACTCCACCCGAATTGCTGATCAGAGACGGAATTGAATGTGATATGGGCGGTGATATTTGGTCCTTCGCATGCACATCGCTGGAGGTACTCTAATTTATTGTTACCATGCGGCTTGATGTCTGATCCCTCCTAGATACTTCGAGGAGAACCTCCATACAAGGCTACTTGGGACGACTTGCTTGTTCCACGTGTAGCCATGAAACACGTTTCCCCATACGAATGGGCGGACTCAGATGATGTAGAGCGTGTTCTGATGGGATGTCTGGAATATGAACCCGATAGACGACCTGCCATTGACGAAGTTGATGCACGACTAAAGTGCGTAGATTAATTTGCCTATTTTGGAGGAAAGCCCACGTTCAGTAGGCAAGCAGCTACCGGGGAACTTTCATTCCCCATTCACGCAGACATAAAACGTGAACTTATGCAAGAAGATGAACGGAACCTCACCGGAAAGATACAATCCGAGCAACTACTAGCACTTGAAGGACGATTCTCGTCCCCGTATAAGGGGACTTATAAAGGCGTACGTGCATGCGAATTCGTGCAGCGGGGTGTAGCCCAGGTGACGGGTCAATCCTATTCCAACAGAAGCCAGTCTGCATCCAACAGATCAATATCTTGGATCCACGAGCCCTGAGTAATTCCATGCGTGTATGTTCACGTTCATTTCTTCAAAGTCATCCTGAACTAACGGGAATGACGTTCGGAAGGCCTTGAAGAGGCAGATACGTTTATGGCGTCGATTGATACATGCCAACATTGAGAGGCTCCACGGATGGGTGCTATCTGCAGGAACTGAACCAGTAATCAGTCTTATTTCCGCCTGGTATGCCCACCGCAACGTAACGGAGTATCTGTGCCAACATCCGGATACAAACCGTCGCAAGATGGTGAGATATGCACTACGAGAACAGGGCAACAAGTGACCGACTTCTTGCCATCAAGGTGTATGATATTGCCCAAGGTCTTGGCTATCTTCACTCGAAGGAGATCGTACACGGAAACATTAAACCGGTATGCCGGCTATACTGGGAGCCCCCTCTGTAATATTTAAGATTGGGATCAGGAAAACGTAGTAATAGGGAATGAAGGCAATCCCCGCTTACGTGGATTCCAGTTCTCATACGATCGTTTAGACCAATTACTTCCCCCGACATCCATGATGGCCTCAGTCCCCGTTTTGTATCACCAGAGTTCCTCAATGGCCTCACAATAATCCCGGATCAAGGAAGCGATGTTTGGGCTTTCGGTTGTGTCACTGTAGAAGTAATTTTATTTTTGTCGCCAAAGTGAAGATGTTTACCCCTTCCCGCAGATACTCATCGGTGAACCTCCTTATTCCTGCCTACCTGACGTTAAGGTTCCCATCATTGCCGCAAACCCCAGAAGGCCCTATGACTGGGGAGATCTTGATGAATTCGAGAGCGCTATCGCCAAATGCTTTGCATATCCTCCGGACAATCGAATAACCGTTAACGATGCCGGTGATATTTTGGAGTGAGTCCCTACCAAATGATTAGATAATTTTCCATTCACTCCCACTAGATCGTGGTTGGCAGCAGAAGCTACTTCTGAATCACCTGATATCTCCAACGACGTCAATGGTATGGCATTAATCTGAAAATTCTTCGTTGGCCTGATTTGTGGCATGTACAGGTCACCAACGAAGTCCCAATTACCGGAGCGGGTTTTCCTCGTTGCGGGAAAACAGCGACCCAATGTTAATTACCGGGGTTACTTCCTCCACGACACTCAGCAGCCATGTTGCCCACGTAGTGTCTCGGGAACACCTGGCGAGCTTGTCTGTGGACTTGGATGTGGCTTCACCAGAGCTGAAGTTGCCCCCAACTAGGCCATCTGATAGCGAAAAGAAACCTAGGGAGTTATCTGGCCTTTATCCGACTCCCCCTCTCTTGACTCGCACTGATACTTACACCATGGACCACAAAAACAAAAGAAAACGATCATCCACTGAGTTTGAGCCTCGGACACCAAAGCGGCCATCCACTATTCTATCCGTCAGTAATCAGGAACAATCATCTGCCCTATCTTCATTGCTTCACCTTCCTCAGCTTGATTTCACCAGCTGGCTGGCCCCGGACTTTGGTTTTCATGACTGGCACAGTGAACCGTATGTTGGGATACATGGGGCCGCGGGTACTTCTGGCGATTCCGCCTTAAACAGTGTGACTACGCTGCTCGGGCCATCTCACAGTCATTCGGACCCGTATACCCCACCTCCATCACGTCAAGCCCTTCCCACTGACCTGCTGACTCTCCAAACTCCCACTCCCGACGATACTCCTCATCATCACGTACCTCCATGGTCCCTCTTGGGCGATCGTCGGTTATGGCCTTCAGGTCGCAGTAGTATTAGCCATTCGAGCACACGCGTTTCTGAATCGCCTGTCCCCATCTCGTTTGTTCATTCGGCCCGATTGTTATCTCCCCCCTCGGCGCCATCGCTCCCCGAAACTGCTTACGCAAGTCCCAACCCTTGGACCCCATACGACAATCGTGCACGCGTCCGCACACAACTGGAAAATGCAGGGATGAATTTCCCTGTACCCCCTGTGTCAGAACCAACACCATCATCGTCGGTTGGCCCGTCGGACGGCATAGAAGGAAGCATCATTAGCACCACTAGGCTCATTCTCCACACCGCATCCATCGCTCTCAAATTCTCGCCCATCTCGTTCCTCCCTAAAATTCCAGACCTGCTTCTCACGCTACTTCAGGTTTACGAGGTCTGGATATGGTGCTCACAATTAATCATGATATATCCCTCACGTTTGCCTCATTCACATAGAGCGTCACTGGTAATAACGAAGCTCTCAAAAGGCTGAATGATGATGTGCAAAATGTATACAGCATCATGCTACGGCCACTCCAACTGTGGACGGGACCGGTACCTCCCCAAATTAGTTTTCTAGTGAATCAATTACACTTGTATGTGGATGCCGTTCCGATCTTTCATTCATTGAGATCTCAAACACTGTTGACAGGGCTCTGGAAGACCAGGTCAAGAAGATCAAGTCACCCATGAGTCAGAATCAAAATCTCTTTAGGAAAATATCTACAGCGGACTCTTTAACGCAGAGCATAAATGACGTGAGGATGCACATCAGTGTAGCCCTCTCCCGGTTTGCTGTTCGTAAAAACTATATTCATGCCGATTAACTTCGACTCATAGAGCGTCCCCTGTAGACGGCGGCAACAACCTTAAACCTTCTCAATACGATCCAAGCGTCGGTGGACTGTTCGTCTTTTTTCCCTTGATTCTAAACTCTTCAGCTCAGTACCGTGTTCAGATGAACTTTCAAAACTGCCCAGAGCAGATGCTGAGTGGTATCGCGTGAAGAGCAAGTCAGAATGCCCCGAAACCACACGGGACCAAACCCGCAGCTCAATTCTCAATCGCCTGAGGGATCCTGAGAACCGATTTGTTTGGCTGCGTGGTTCACCTGGGACCGGGAAAACCGTGATATCTATGGGTGTAGCTTCCACGCTTGACAAGCAGCACACCCTTGCATCATCCTTCTTCTGGGATAAGAACCAAAGGGGAACAGGACTCGATTCGATTGAACGCTTCCCCTCTACCCTTGCCCGACAGCTTGCGGCATTCAACGCCGAGTATAAGAGCTTGCTTATCAGGCAACTTCGGGAGTCCGCTTCATTCAGCAGTATCGGTGGTTCTGCTGCTGAGAAAGAGATGGCAGCTTGGATCATCAACCCTATGCGTGAACTCGGAGGTGTATTGTCGTCAGGAAAGGGTCGCCCTGTGATCGTATTGGATGGACTCGACGAGTGCGGAAACCCAGAGGTGCTTGTGTCTTTGATGAGGCTCGTTCTTCTGCTTGATAAGCTGCCTCCGATGTTTGCCATACTCGTCAGTTGCCGCCCAGAGCCGCAAGTGATTTCCGCTTGGGCTCAAGCTAATCCGCATCTTTCGATCGCTCATGAAGATATGGATCAGATGGCGGAAGATGAGAATTTCCACACAATCCGTTGTATGGTCGAGAACGGGCTTCAGGACTGTATCATGGAGTCTCCATGGAAACCGACCGAGAAGGATCTTGATGGCTTCGCTTCAGCTTGCCGTGGCTTACCTCTTATCGCCTCGACCCGAATACGTGATGTCGTCCTTCAGATTGAATGCGGTTCAGTGCTGGAAACCGAGTTTGATTACTATCGCAATCTCATAGATGCGCCTCAGGATCTGAACTGGGAGTACTTGCGAATAATGCGACGGGCCTATCTACAACAGCGTCCAGAAATCGATCCACACATCACAGAGAAATACCGTGAGGTCGTTGGGATGATGGTTGTCCCACGGTGGGCATTCGGCGTGTATGGGATATCACAGCTCCTTGGAATGTTTTCTGAGCATGAAGTACGCGCGATACTCAAGCCCATCAGCTCAATAGTGGATATGCCTTCAACAAACGAAATGCCTGTCAAATTCTACCATGCGACAGTGAAGGAATTCATCACAGGGATTCCGATTGGCAAGGGAGAGGACAAGGTATTCTTCATTAACGACAAGAATGGGTATTCAATCGGGTTGCGGCTCCTTCGATTTGTGAATGGTGCCATTAAAAGGAATGAGTTGGGTCTCCCCACCGAACTTCCCTTGGGAGATGAAAAGAAGTGGGAGTCCAAGAGTAAGACTTCGAAACCCAAGCATGTCGACTATGCACTTGCGCACTTGTTCCGACACTTGAACCCTTCGCTCCTCTTTTCGCAAGAGTCTAATGGATTGCAGAGAGAATTTGAACAATTCTGGACACAAAACTTGTTCTCGTTCTTCTCAGCAGGCTCTGAGGCAGATGTTCCTCGCGTTTGGAATCAATTCAAGGTGAGTCCCAATTGAATTATATTTCGAGTATTTCCATCATCACTATGCATTGCAGAATCACAAGTCAAAGTCAATCTCCGTCGTCCGTGCTGCTCGGGATATTTTTAAGTGGCGCACTCGTCCGGACGTCTATCGATCCGTCCTCCCATTCACTCCAACGTCATCACTCGTTTACGAATTGTATGGTCACCTCTCGGATCCTGTTCGAGTCTTCAGTGTGTCTGGCAAGTTCGCTGGTGGCTTAATTCCTTTAAGCGATGATGCACACAGCGCTCGAAGGGTGATGGAGGCGGAGCTGACTAAATTGCCAGGGGCGGTTGATGAGCAGCAGAAAGAAGGGATTGATTATGGAGCTGAGTTTATCAATGACAGCGTTCGCAATGGTATTGTGACCTGTGCAGCGCTCTCAAGAGATGGCCATCTCGTAGCGCTCGGATTCGGAAGTGGCATTATTGAAGTAGCTGACATTAACAATCAAGCCACAATCTGTCGATTTCAGAGCGATTCTTCCTATCCTCCCGTTTGGATTGAATTTATCCACAGCAGCAATGCCTATATTGCCACTGAAGATACTCAAGGAAACGTTACCATTTTCAGTCATGAAATGCCTATGGTGAAGCTTGGCATTCTCCCCAGTACCACCCACCCTCCTGTAACCACAGTATCGGGTGATGGATCTTTCATCGCTCGAGTCCCGAGCAATTCCGAAGGGGATTGGTACGAGACCACGGCACTCTTGCGTGTTTCGGGCAACTCATTCATTCAGCTTCTCATGCCTCCCTCTACTACTCAGTCTCTCAAACCCTCTTCCCTTCCCCTTCGTCACACCCTTGGATTTTCTCCTGGAGGCCGATACTTTAGCGCTTACGACAAGAATGGCGCTTTTATCTGGTCAACGGATTCAGGCGAGTTGATCACCCGATTTGGTATGGGTGGTTTCGACAAGTGGATCATCAATGTTGGCATTGCCCCATCTTGCTCGTATTCCACCCCTAGCCCTATCTTCCTTCAACATTCCGTCCCTTTAATCCCGGAAGATGTGAGCCGTGCACAAACTTCCGTCTCGGACGAATCCTGGCTGAAGTGCCCTTTTTACGACCTCTCGCCTGCCATGGGGGACGGAAGTACCCGCAATGATGTTTATTCGTCTGCAATAGGAAGGACCCCGTTACTTCTTCCCGGCCGCACTCCGTCTGCTCTGCCAGCCATCTGGTTTAACGGGAGATCAGAACTCATCCTCCCATTGGAGTACTCTCCGATTGCACAAACCTCACATCATACCACGAGAGTCGAAGAAACGGATGAAATGGTTGTTGATAATATTGATGATGTTCCTTACCGGCCCCAAGCCAGGGATACAAGTTCAATTTTAGCACAGCGCCCGAAGGAAACCCCGATCGCCGTTGGCAGAGACCCCTGGTATGGTGACCGAGTCCTGGGGGAAGATAATCTTGATTTGTTTTACCTTCCCCGGGCTAGCAAGGATGGGACTCGATTTCTAGTTCAGGGAAGATCGAAGGCCCCAATCGTTGTTGATATCAGTCAGGTAGTTTGATCCAGTAATGCGCATTTCTGGTCCCTTTCTTTTCCCCGTTCATTATTTGGTTGAGCAATGTCCTTTCGTAATTTTGTAGTTCAAGACTTGGAGATGAGTCGGGTGTCAGCAATTATAACGAGCTTCTGGAAGTAAGAATGCAATGCTGGATTGTTGTTAGAAGTAGAACGTAATTTATCCGGCAAGTTGGGTAGCGGAGAAGCACTCTAACCGTCTCCATGTCCTCTCCGGGACCGCAAAACTGAGTGTGTCGTGCGTCTTTGTACGTTCATGTATACAGCTCAGAGGCACAAGCTTTTTTTTTCTAGAAATAATTTCCCTGAGTGCTCGGTTCGACATGTAAATTAGGGATAACCCGCTCGCGAGCGGCTGGCAGCCCTCAAAGTATTTCACGGGCTCTGAGCGTGAATTTTGGCACACTGTTATTTCTACTTGGGATTTGTGGGTGGAAACACCACGAAACGGTCAAGAAATTGGTTTATGGCTGATGGCATCAGTGAGGAAAGTGGCCGTGCCAGGAAAGGCATTTTCCCAGAATTATGTTCGTGATCGTCTCGTCATAGGGAACGAATCCGAACCCAACATCCATACCGAACATCCTCTGGGAGATAAAAAGGAGGGAGTTTCACGAATACAGCGCAATTCGAACACGCTGATCACTTACTCAGCACGCTTTCCGTCCATATGATTGATCGTGTCTTTCCCCAATACGTCACTTTTGTGCGTCGTGAATTGTAGGCCGATGCGTGCCATGCGGCTGGGTGGGGATCATGTTAGAGCAAGTCCAGATCGGACCAATCAGACAAAGCCTGTGAAGTAGTATGAGTGCCGCACAGACGCATCAACCTCCGAAAGAAAGCTCAAAGAGCGAGGTTAGAGGTAGGTTCCATGCTCCTTGGCATCATTTCTTTCCGTTCGCCCTCTACTTTAGTAAAAGCTGGAGTCCTGTCTGCGCTCACCCCGCTCTTTTGTGAGTCGCGCGAACAATCCCGTTCGAATATTTGGCGTCCCAAGCTGCCTGGTGGCTTTATCCGACGGGGTGGTGAGGGTCGTCAAAGAAGGGGGACGTTAGAGGATCTATTACAGGGCGGCAGCTAAGTTTGGATGCGAGTGGCATGCACGGAGACATTTGACAAGAAAAACAAGGAGCGTATTTCACCAGCTCAGTTCCACGTTGTATGTGAGGAAAGACGTAAATAATATTTATAAGCGAAACACTCTGAATGACGTATAAGCATGGTAGTCAAGATACCAAGAAAGGTAATACTGGCCCGTACTCGTGAGTAGTTACAGCGTCGATGGTTCGACGTCAAACATGCATCAATACCCTTCAACAAACGTTGAAATTGCGATATTGCATGACCGTCTCGTACATAGCATTGGAACATATGCCAAAGTAGATTCGATACCATTGAAGAACAACAGAGAGAAGGGACAAGACAGGTATCTGGATCCAGTAATACGACCAGTCAGCACCCAGATCTCCAAGAAGTGCCAGTACATGCAACAGAAAACAGGTTAGACTTCAACACATGGTTTCGTCTTATTAACGCTTCGATGTGCCACCAGCAAGGATCACGAAGGCGTGTTCGTCTACAGTACGGCGGTTCTCGTGTGTAGGTTGCGGAACAGATGCGACCATCAACATGAGCACCAGAATCAATCGAGGGAGTCTAGAACATCGTCCAGGCTTGGCCGTTCCTCTGGGCGAGCATTTAAACAGTCGCAAATCTCGGTATTACCGATGGGTTGGACAATATCAGCCGTGTATGCTGGGGGTTTATCTTTGAGAATCTCAGTTTCATCTTCGATTGTGCAGTACGGTTGCTGGCCGATGTAGATCTCACGAACCAGGGGCCTCAGATACAATGTCGATCTTGTGAGGAACCAACAGTACTCACTTCGGTCGAAACACAACCAAAAGCCCAAATGTCACCCTCGTAGCTGCATGGAAACACGTCTTTGTCGCAAATCAGGTGTTCGGGCGCCGTGTACCGTACACTTTGGAACTTGGTTGGCAGGTCCCGAAAAAGCTCCGATAATCCGTAGTCACATAGCGCTGCTCGACCACCACCATCGATCAAAATGTTCGTCTTGTTGCGAAGCCATCACTCGTTTAGGGAGCAAACACAATAAACATAACATGCGGGCGTACTGGTTTGATGTTCCCGTGCTTTATTCCCCTATCATGGAGATATTTCAAGCCAAAGCAAATGTCGCGAACCTAGACGCATTGTATTGGAATCTTTTGAGCATTATCGGCTCTAGAACGCACCAAGATGTTGGCATCCGCATTTGGACAGTCCGCTAGATAAGTTTTGATATCCCCATTCGGATACCAATCAGAAATTAAAGTAATGTCGAGATAGCTGCGATCGTCGATGCTCAGCTCCCATCCCTGCATTTTGGCGACCGGGCTCGAGTCGTCAGCCCATGGCCACCTTTCCCCTTGAGTCAAGAACTCCTTTGGAACGATTAAATCGTATCATGTGTGCACAAACTAGAAACTTACCCAGATAAAATTTCGAAGCATCTTTTCGTTCGATATGGGGGTGACCCTTCGCAGGATCTTGATTCGCACTTTCTTTGTATCCTATAGAATTTCCCATTCGCCGTGCGAGATAAGTCTCCCCAGAACAAGCGCATGAAGCGTTTGAATATACCCATACGTTGTAGGTTCCGCGCTGTATCGAGCAGTGAGGCCGCTCGCACACTGTGCCAGAAAGCTGGGCATGAAATTGGCTGCGACTTGCCCACCTCCCTTTACGGTTTTGTGTTTCCAGTTTAAGCACCTCCGAAAATGGTATAGGTCCTTCCTCCCGGGGGTTTCTTGCAGAGACTATTGGGCGCGTGTCCGGTGAGGGATGTGCACGCACTCACATAAGATCATTGATCAGAGCCGTGATGGCAGGACGGTCATCCTTCTCGTACTCAAGGCATCTAATTACCACTCTCTCAACGGCGGATAATTCTGAAGGCTTCAATTCGAACGGTGGACGCTTTTTCCCAATGGCTGTGAATATCGCTTCACCAGGTGTGGAGCAATACGGCATCTGTTTCCGGAGAATCTTGGCTAGGAATTCAGTGGACGCTGGTCACCTAAAATCAATCATGTCGGTACCTCCATAGCTGTGCAGCCGAAAGACCAAACATCGCTCTCCATTCCTCGGTGGGCATTGTCCTGGTAAATAGATAGTTCTGGGGCCGCGTAATACAACGTCTTCACACTTATCAGCTCCAAAACGAAGGAACTTTCCGAAAGGAAGCAAGATGCTCCAAAATCGCATAATTTTGGGACTTCACATTTGTCAACTACGACGTTGTCCTGAGGGGAAATTAGATTGAGATTTGATCGACGCAGGACTACCCGGTGGTAACTCACTGGTTTAATATCGCCATGGACAATTTTCTCGGAGTGAAGGTATGCAATGCCCTGGGCAATGCCACAGATCTATTCGGCTCGATCAATGACTCTCCGGGGTAAGGCGATCGGGAGCACGCTCACCAACGCTTGACGGTCAGCATCAGGCCGGCAACGAAGAAACATTCGTACGTCTCCGTGTTCGCACCATTTCGATACAAGACTTGGGGATGGTGGTTCCGGACTTCTCAGATCGAGCAACCATCCGTAAAATTCGACAACATGTTTGTGCTTTAACAACCTCCAAACTTTGACTTCATGAATTAACCGCTTGGAGTGCAATGAATCATTTGCCAAACTTATGATGCATCCACATACTGAGATCATGTTGCTATCGGCATTGGAGACGATATCAATGTACCGAGACTTGAAAATCTTGATGCATACGATGCTCTAACGAGGAGGTGGGGCGAAATATAGATAAGCTTGAGAGGAACTGAAACATCGTGAGGCTCAATTTGCGAACCTTGTTATAGAGCCCCTTATAGACGACTCCGTAAGCTCCACTGGCAATACAGTAGCGATCTTCTATTTTCACCTGGCCGTCGAGGATGCGAGAATCAATTTTGCTCAGTTTTTCCCTAACATCGCGGAGCACAGATTCAGGTATAGTATCCCACGGCATGTCTGCTCACTTGACAGTCGCTGGAGACGCTGGGGGAAAGACGTCCGCCCTCCGACCTGTTCAACAGCTGGCGGAGGGAACTAGCAATGATTGTGGTGTGAGACTCATAACGATGGTCACGCATCCGCCGCTCATGTGTACTAGTTTGGATGTATAGAATGTAATGAAGTGTAGGTGGAACAAGTTCAAGTTCCACGGAAGTCACGATACGGGGCCTAAACGTAGTGCAGAAGTAGAATATTGATCCATAACAAGAATGGTCAGGCCTGAAGCCATCTCGAGATGAAATGGTCACATGCACCGCTACTCCAACACTCAAACCCCGCTGTTTGACAAACCGAGGAGCCAGTGGCGGCAGGGAAATACACGAATAAACGCATAGTACTCCTTGAAGCCTACAACCAGCGAGGCACTCTTGGGTGCGTTGTAAGCATGAGCGCTTCTGGATACGGCTACTTGAATCATGTTTGTTCGGACTGATTTGAAATTATCCTCAGACTCAAATATCACTATTTGAGCCAATACACCACCATTCCTTATGATATGGTGTTCGTAATGTAATATGCCCCAATTCGTGAATCTCTGACACATCTTCCTTTGCACGCCAAAATTGTATTGCTCTCCACTTTTGCCTGGACCACCCGTCCATCCATCGCTCCCTGTCACCACCGTCCTGCAATCACAAACACGTTGCCTCCAAACGACATGTCCTCACATCCAAACTTACAAACCCTCGTATCGGAGGCTGACCCCCCGCCTATTGATTCTCAGGAAATTAAGCTGGATCACGGACAAGTGGCGGTTGGTGCCATGGTGCCTGGTGTGCAAGGCCAAGTCAGCTTTTGTGATATCTTGCTTGGCCCCCCACTGATGGAGTGTCCCACGGTCGCGATCGGCAGAATAGAGTGGGAATCGAGGTCCTTTGTGAAGTTAACGTTTCGAAACAGAGCGAGGTGAAACACTTTACCGAGGTCTGATGTGCCCCTTCGAATCCTATTGATGGAGTACCTGAGTCGGTGCCTTAAATAGCGTATCGGGCATCAAGTACGCATTTTGGCAGCCGCAAAGCACGAGAACGTTGTAGAGTTCCGGGGATGGATGATGTTGGATGATGAAGTTCTGGTTCACGCGGCTGCTGTCTTGACGAGATGCGAAGGAGGTGAAATCATGGCCTTTCTTCGAGAGCACAGAGGTGTGGATCGGCAAGGCTTGGTATGCTTTTTAATCGAAGAGAAGTGAGACACACGTTCTGATTGCGTCGAATACAGGTTATCGGAATCTCTCAAGGTGTGGGGCATCTTCACTCCAAGGGTGTTGTTCATGGAAATCTCAGTCCTGTGCGCTATATGACATTCCCCGTCCTCGCCTGAACGTCTGTTTATTTTCTCTTTGTTTTCTAGAGGAAAATATTCGTTGATTGTACTTATGACATTCCTATCGCAAAGATTGGTGGCTTTGAGCTCTGCTACTCGCTTAGGGAAAATCCCGTTTATTCTGGAGTGGAGTACGGTGTTCTGAGGCTTGTACGATACGCCCCACCCGAGTTGCTGATAAGGGCTGGAGTTGAGTGTGATACGAGTGGCGATGTTTGGTCCTTTGCATGCACATCGCTAGAAGTATTTCTCTTTCGCCATCGCCATACGCCTCAATGTCTAATCTTCTCCAGGTGCTTCAGGAGCGACCACCTTACATAACCGTGCAGAACGACCTCCAAATCCCTATCGCAGCCGTGATGCATACTTCCCCATACGGATGGGAAGATCTTGATGATTTTCAACGCGTGCTAATGGACTGTCTAGATTATGAACCTAGTAGACGACCCACTGTCAGCAGAATAGCAGATCGGCTGAGGTGCGTGGATTGTCGTTCCCCAAGAGAAAAACTCATGCTCAGAAGGCTTGTAATGGCTGGGAAACATACTCTCCCCATTCGGTTAAGCATAGAACATGAAATCATGCAAGAGGACGACCGGAACCTCACTGGAAAAATCCAATCCGAAAAACTGCATACACATCAAGGGCATCCTCCGTTTCCCTATAAGGGAACCCATAAGGGCGTATGTACCCGCTTCCTGGAATAGCCGAGTGCGGTCCTTGGTGATGATCAACGCCATTTCAACAGAGGCCAGTCTGCATCCAACAATCAGATTACTTCAATGTCACAGATTCGCGTGTGCTCGCTGAATCCATACGTGTATGCTCGCCATTATTCCTTCCGAGCCATCCTTGAACCTGACGAAGGTGGTGTTCAAAAGGTCTTAAAGAGGCAAATCCGAATATGGCGTCAATTAATGCACCCCAACATAGAGAGGCTCCGTGGATGGATGCTATCTCCGGAATCTGAAGTAATCAGTCTGGGCCTAATTTCCGCTTGGCATCCTCACCGCGATGTGATGGTATACCTGCGCCAGCACCCAGTTTCCAATAGACGAAAGATGGTGAGACATCTCAGCACGAACGAGGAGAAAACAAGTGACCAATGCCTTGTTGTGCAGGTGTATGATATTGCGCTGGGTCTCTGCTATCTCCATTCGAGAGAAATCGTCCATGCAAACATCGAACCCGTACGTCAACTATGCCAGCCATTGGAGAGCACCATTCGATGGTTAATTTTGGCACTGTTCTGTTCAGGGAAACGTCGTGATAGGGGATGGAGGCAATGCTTGCTTACGTGGTTTCCAATTCTCGTATGATCGTTTGGATAAATTACTTCCTTCCGATTATCATCCCCCCAGTCCCCGTTTTGGATCCCCAGAATTGCTCAATGGTCTCACAAAGGTTCCGGATCGAGAAAACGATGTCTGGGCTTTTGGTTGTGTCAGTGTACAAGTAGTTTTGATCGTATTCTTTTTTCCAGGGAAAGATGTTTACCCCCTCCCGCAGATTCTCATTGGAGAACCTCCCTACTCCCACCTTACTGACAATCAGATCCCTGTCGCTGCCATACCGCCCTATGAGTGGGAGGGCCTTGACGAATTCGAAAGCTCTGTTGCTAGATGCTTTACATATCTTCCGCACAGGGGCCGAATAAGCATCAATGGGGTGCGCGATACTCTCGAGTAAGTTGTCAGATAATTGGATAATACCACTAACTTCCCTCAGATCATGCTTAGCAGAAGAAACCTCTGAGATGTCCACCGGAGGTATGGTGTTGAGTTGCAAATTCCTATGTTTGCTCATGCCGTGACATGTACAGGTCGCCAAGGGGGCCGTGTCTACCACAGCGGATTCTCCGCATCAGGGGAGAAAAACGACTCAACCCTAACGACTCGGACTCCAGATGCACAGCAGCTCGTCAGGCCTGAGCAATCGACGGGTTCAGGTTCCTTCGTTGACGTAGATCCCACGCTCCACAGTGAACGAGATGTCCCCCAAGTTGAAACCTCCACTCCCAGTCTTTCCTCCACAACTCGTTCTGTACTTTTTTCCAATGAGTGGGGGTTCCCTCCTTACCCCATTCTAAATGTCGCTGTAAGGAGTCAACCCGGCTCACCTGGAGATTCCCGATCCTGGCTCAACACTGCCGCGCAACGTTTTGGGTTTGGTTACCACTGGGTGAGCCTTCGTGAATCCCGTGCACCCATGCATAACTCTTTGACTCAACACGCACTCATCAAGGTTGTGAATGAACTTGTGGGCCATAACACGGTGATCTGGGAGTCAGAGCTTCACGGTGGGCTTAATATCTTTCTCCGAAAATATACAACTGACCCCGGTTGGAATGCGTTCTAGTCCTTGGCTCGATATTTCGTGGCCAGGGAACCAACATAGGGTATGCCAAAGATGAAGCAGCGTACAAATTTTTCCAAGCGTACCCTGAATATTATCCTCGTCAGGAGTAGCCCTCTGTTGCCGCACCATATCGACGCTCACTGGACACTGCATGTTAGAGTCAACTTTCTGAGTTGCGATGTTTGTTGGTTGGGGATGGTCGGTCCGACTAAGGACGATCCACGAAAGCTGTCAATGAAACCGTGTACTTGGGTTTCAAGTAGTCAATCGGACTCAACATGACTATTCCGAGTTGATGATCATAATGTTTTAATTTTAGACAGGCCAAAAGGCATGTCGTGCTACAATGACCTGACATACTTGATTGGGAATAGGTGAACCCGGTGCCTAATCTTAGAGATACATTGCCTCCGGGAGAGGATCGCTCTGTGATCGTTCCGGATGGACTTGACGAGTACGGGGTGTTGAAGCAGCAGCTCAGGAGTGTGGATGGTACATGAAATTGTCGGCGCAAACACATGCAAATACGTGTTTCAAGATCGCTTTCTAACATGGCCTCGTAATGCAGCCGCTATCAAGGCGAACAGCTGTAAATGCGCGTTGGATAATGAGACCAGACTCGGAGTTGTTCAATAGAATCACGGGTTGACCTCCCTCATCCGTTCCACTCGGGATATTTTCGAGGCATGATTCTAATCCAGACTCGTAATCCAGAAAGGATCAATTCCTTGGCAAGCTTATTGATCCGCCCTTCATCGTCATCACCCTTTCACGGGTTGTACGGTCATCTCTCGAGTCTTCAGTGTCTCCGGCGAATTTGCCGATCGCTTTATTCCTTTAGGCGAGAAGCTTTCCCTCTCGATGACGACCAGCCCCTAGAAACATTTTTAAGCGTGATTTTTTGGCAGCCTATAAATGCTTCACTATTATTTCGGACGATGTTCCTGAGCGCTACACATACACTGCACCGACGTGTGACACTGAAACCAATCAGCTCAATAGTTGATCTTTCCTGCCGTCGCAATAGAAATTAAATTCTACCACGAGGCAGTAAAGAAATTAATTTATGGCTGATGGGCATCAGTGAGGAAAAGTGGCACAGTGCCTGGAGGTGGATTACGACCCCTCCGATTTGCCGATCGTTTCATCATAAGGAACAAGTCTGAATCCATCATGCCTACCGAACGTCTTCTGAGAGATAGGGGAGTTTCACGAGTGATGGAGTAATCCAAACAGGCCAATGACTTTAACCACTTGTTCAGTACGCTTTTCGCAAGGCCGGTTCACACCGAATTGCAGGAGTTCTAGCTATCGTACTATCGTGAATTGTAAAGCCTATGCGTGCGTGCAGATCGAGTGGGGATCGTGTCACTAGAGCAAGTCCAGATCAGACCAATCGTAGTCGTATTCAAAGCCTGTAAATTATGATGCCGCGTGTGCCCCACAGACGGATCAACCTTCGAAAGAAGGGTCAAAACCATCGCACGAGGTTCGAGGTAGGTTCAAGAATTGAACCTGCTCTCCTAGCTTGGTGTCATTTCTTCCGTTCGATTCCTACGTGAGGATCATGCCTGCATTCGCCCCGCCATCTTCAATCTTTTACGAATCGCGTGGGCGCCTATAGCTCAGACCCTATGCAAGTGTCTGGCATCCCCGGTGATCCTGGTGGCTTTCTCCCATTACGCGAGGACACACTTACAGGGGACGTTGGGAGGGTCAAGTATTGCATCAGGAGATGATCGTTGGTTGCGTATGGAGGCAGGTTGATACTAGGAAGTAACCGGCCAATGTCCCGTTTTCGCTCTGACACGTTTCGAATTGATCCGGCGGCTGTCCACGACATGCCGAATTCGCCCGGCGCAATCTTCATTGGAGGTACCGTGGCTTGCGCAACACTCCCTCTCGATAGCCATTCCGCTTTTGGACTTGGGAGTGATATCATTGGAATCGACATATTAAAACCTAGTCTGGAAGCGCTGTACGTGGGCTGCATCCAAGGGGGAAAAATACCTCGCTTGAAGCGCTGGGGAACACCAGTCGACACGGGGGGTATTTGACAAGAAAAACAAGGTGTGATATCTCACCTCAGTGACGTCGTAGGAAAGACGTAAACGTAAAATTTTCACTTTATTAGTAAAAGCACTCTGAATGGCGCACAAGCATGGTAGCCTACATACCAGGAAAGGAAACACTACGCCACCACTCTCAATAACGTAAGCTAGTTGCAGGGTGGGGCGATGGCGCGCCCGACATCAGGCACGATAACCAACACTCCCCAACGCACATCTCGATCTTGTCTGGGTCGGGTTGCGCTGTGGCGGTCGCCGGGCTGCGGCTGAGGATAGAAGTGGAAAAATTGGGATCTATATAGCTCGGTTCGAAGCCGGTGGCGACCGATGTGGCTGGGGTACTCACCTCAGCAACCATTAACGTTGCACAGCCTGCATGCTGCAAACCAGTATCAGACAATGGATGTTTCGTCAGGGGAGTCCCGCAAAGTGTTATATCCACTTGCTCGTATCTCAACTCCTACGGCTGTGTCCAATGGTCCTGTCACTCCTTTGATCTCAGCCGAGAACATAGGTTCTGGGCTAAACCAAAGGCACATCCGGGATGAATCCTAGCTGAGGTGCAATCTCTTACCTGACTTGTGGGATAAGAACACATGAGATCAAGTCTACTCTGCAGCATGAAAAGTCTCTTTCACCCCTGACCGAGTCACAGGGTACCTATAGGGGCTGGCATCCTGCCTAACAGGATACGCGCTTGTATGAAGAGCTTAATCCTTCGGTTTTTCAGGACTATCAATGGGCTAGATAGCAGGCAGGCGTTACCGACTCCAATGATTTCCAGGCACTTCATCGTCTGTGGTTAGTGTGGAGGTTACTTTGTGGGGGACTGAATGGAAGGGCTTGGCGTTCTGAATAGAGTGTGATTGTTTGTGTGTACATATTTGTTGCCACCGGGGCTCATTTTACTTCTTCGTGTTCAACAAGGCCCCGCATTCAGTTCTGAAGCGCGACAACATCCCAAAACCTTGCATTTCCTCACCGACCCGGAGTAGAAGCTTGATCCTACGTTTTCGTGGGTCCTGGCGCGTTTCTACACGTTCATAATCTACTCCTGGCCTCTACAAGTCTCCAATGTCGTCAGATAATATTCTGCTTAATTCTCCTGCTCTTCACTCCCTTAAACGCAACCAGCTTGTGCAGCTATGCAAGAGGCATGGGATAAAAGCAATAGGAAAGGTTGGGTTTTTTTTGTCGATTAGCGATGTTTTAGAGGGTTGAGCTTGCTTGTAGAATCCAGAACTGATCGGGAAGCTACAAGAATATGGCAGAGACCATCCTTCCGCGATCGATTCTCAGCTCAGACGCGGGGAGGGGAATGCGGAGGAGACCCATAGTGGCGAAATAGTTGCGCCTCGACCTAGCGAGACCTGGTCTCTCATCGAGGAGCCCCCGGAGCAGGAGTATCGAACACACTTTCAAAACCTATCCACGATCAATGAATTTGGAACGGGCGAAAGCTCAAGTAAATGTAAGGTCTAAATTATCTTGAGATGATATAGGGCCGATTTACGTCTTTGTTGGCGCCTTAGCTTCCAGTGTGACATCCTCGATAAAAGCACTTGCCACTCTCTTGCATGGATCGTTCTCCTCTTCCAAGTCAAACCTGCTGGCCTCCAGCTCTATGACAAGCCTCCCTGCCCCGACCGAAACTCGTCCCTCCTCTCAGCTGCAAGATGACGATGTGAAAGAGTTCGAACCTTTCAATGAGCCCGAACCCGAGCCCGAGCCAAATACATCCATAAATTCGGTGTATATGAACGAGGCTGGTCTTGCATCAACGGTTCGACTCGTGGGGAAGCCACCTTCTTCTCCTGATTATGCCATGCCTTCTCCATTCAGAGGCAAATCTGTAATTTTCCCTTCTTCATCCCCCATCTCCCCAACATTCGACAAAACTGAGAGTTTTCAAACGCCCGATTCGCACTCTGGTGGCGCCTCTTCAGACCACGTTCTTCCATCTGTTTCTCAACCCTCCGACGCCCTTCCCGGAACCCCTCATGCCTCTCCAGATCGTCAAGCCTCGCCGAAATTTAACCTCGCTCTCACACATTCGACAACAGAGTTTACGTTCCGCTCACCGATGCCTGGCGTTTCGATGGATGAGACCAAGAAAGCGAGTTTGCGTGCGGAGATTCTGCAAGAAATGAATCGTCGCTTGCTTGTGACTGACCCTCCGGCGACCATCACCGTTGGTTTCTTCAACGAGGCGAGCAAGAAGCGCGCTCGTGAGCCTGAGCCTGCACCCGAAGCAGCAGGGTACTCGCGCTTTGTAGCTGCCCATGAGCGTGAGTTCAACAAGTGAGCTCGTTCATGCATTTGGTTCCCGTTGACATTCTCAGCCCTCCGTATAATAGGATGCCCTCTATTTTGGACGACCGTGCGAGGATACGCGCTCGACAACGTCTTTCCAACTCACCACGCAAATCATCTCTCGCAGGGGTCAAGCCTCGAACTTCTCATCTCGTTCCAAGGCCAAACCGAACGTCCCTTGCTTCTCGCGGCCGAACTCCCACTCGACCGTCTGTTCTCCAAATTGGAGTTGCTCCTCTGGCTGGTGAGGAAAGAGCTGCGAAACGAGCGAGAACTTCCATGAAAGGGATATCACCCTCGATCGTACTTGAAGAGAAGGCAAAGGAAGTCGTGGATCTGTCGGCCATGGCGAACAAGAAGATTGAGGCTGCTGTGACAGCTGCCAAGAGGAAATCGATGTCCAAAGCTCGAGTTAGTCAAACCGGGCAACGACGCAGGAGTAGCGTCGGTCGGAGAAGTCTTGGAAAGAATGCTGTGCTTGGCAGCAGTGAGTGGTGGTCTTTCGGGTCCTCAACAAATGAAGCTGAATTAATCGCGTTGTAAATCAGGTAAACCGAAGGGCCTTATGGGTCGATTCGGATTTTTGAAGAAGTCAGCCAAGTCCGTCATGAAGAGCGTGTTCACCGCTGTTGTGGGTGGAGAGGGTGCAGCTGTAGCACCTGCAGGAGTCCCCTCCACGAGGGAGAGCAAGGATGGAGATGTTGCGACCTCTACCTCGTCGAAACCTGCGACTGCAAAAGACACTTCATTGACCCACGCGCCGAAGCCCACTGCACCTTCTGTCGGTTTCCGGCCAGCCAAGCCAAAAACTGCTACACCCTTGGAGGCACCTACAAGACCATCCCGCCCCGCCCCGCCAATTCCGTCACAAAAACCATTGGTGCGTCCGAGCATACCCTCCCTCACTTCCACCACCCAGGGACGGTCTACCTCCAGCAGAGGATCTGGGGCTTTGAGTACCACCAAATCCTCCAGTGCGCTGGGCAGCGCGTCTAGCGCTCGTTCATCTACGTTATATTCTCGATCTTCGCGGCTGTCTGGAACCACGAGCGGCACCGTTTCCTCCATCGGGCTTCTGAGAAAGCCGAATTTCTTGTCGAAAAATCAAACCAAGGATGGAGACACATCCATTTCCACACTCTTCGCGCCCACAGCTTCTTCTCTTGCCAAAACTCGCGCACCTTCACTCAATGGAAGTGTTTCTGGGAGCGTGAGAATTTCCAAATCTGGGACGAGGAACTCGACAGCTTCGAGCAGTGTCTTGTCCTCGGCTTCTTCCCGTGGATTGGTCAGTAAATTTGGATACGTCGGGAATGTGAAACCTTCTGGTGCTCAACCTTCTTCGTCTGTTGGAAGATCTACTTTTTCACCCACCAGTTCAATCCTATCTGCCACTCCTTCAAAGCTTCCTGTAGCTCAAGGCTTTAAATTCAAATCCTCTGATTTCGCACACTTGAAGTCCCCTCCCACTTCTTCACGCTGCTCTGCAGTTAAGATTCTTTCCCCTAATTCAACGACCATCAACCCGGTATCACATCCGCAACAAGCCGATACAACTATCTCTACTCTTGCCACTCCCGCCCCCACAACACTCCTTCCCAAAACGGGGATGACTTTCGAAGCAGGCGTGACACCCTCTCGCCGACCTCGCATCTCTCGCTCGAAGGTCATCGCGAAGTTGGGAGAACAACGCGAGCGTACTGCTGGTGCTGTCGCTAGTCCCGCTAAGACATTACGTTTGTCAGGCGTCGCCGCTAAGCGGACGTCATTGCAACAGGCCCGTCCGAGACGGTCGATGGCCGCAGCAGACAAGAAGACTCGAGCTATTTTGGACAGTTATGCAAGAGGTCAGAGGAGGAGTGATGTACTTGCTGCTAGGGCAAGGAGGAAAAGTGGGAAGAATGCCAAATTATCTCTCCCTGGCGAAGGTATGACACTAATGTCAAAATGATATGTCATTAATTTGTCAAATCGTGAGATATTTGGGGTGTTTTTGTCATTGTAATATGCTTTCCATGCATCGCAGCTTTCTCTCATGCCGACTTGGGTTTCTTGCCATTCGCTATCCCGTTCTGGACTTACACTACTGTGTATGCACATTTTTTGTATTTATAGCGCAACACTGGCGTTGTACGATAACGCTGTAAGCAATGTTCTATGGGGTCGAATTTCAGTACTGGTGTGCATGTAATGTATGCATGACGTTGACGGTTGAACTGAATTTTCTCGAAGATCACCATTCAACCACATACACCTGGAATAAAATAATCGATCTTTTTGGCTCCACGCGCCGATATCTGCGGACGATTCTCCGTGTGAGCCGAGAGCGCGCGCGTTATTGCCTTTTACTGATGCGAAATTATGTAATTCGAATGGATCGAATGTCACGCATTCGGATGTACAGGCATAAACTCCGCCAAACTCCGTTCTGCCGTATTACACCAGAGCGTCAAGCCGCCGTGCAACTTACAGGTTTGCCGCTCGGTGCAGAGTCCAGCCAGCGATGAGCTACCCAATGTCGGGGGGTCATCAGCAGACACACCAGAGCTATGGTTTGTCACAAGGTCCGCAGATAATCCTTGGGCCAGCCAAAAATACCACTGTGTGAGTGAATTATCCACGCCACTGGTTGCACAACGCGTCTTTCGTCGTGTTGACCCCCTTTTCCTCGGTTATTCTTTAGTGTTACGACGACTACGACGACTACTACGACGTATGCTCCCATCACATTGCCACCTTTGCCGCCGCAGCCGACTTTGAAAGATCCCAAGTTATATCCGCTGCTGCATGCGCCTGTGCCGCGGTCTTTGCGTCGATTCCCACTTGTCTTCCCTGGTGGAACTCGCGCTGTTTTCCATGATCCAGGTGATTCGGATGAAGACACTGATCCTCAATGGGCTGGCGAAGATGTCATCGGAGGTGAAGGGTGGCAAATGATGAATTCATCGTCATCTAATCAGAAAAAGGATAAGGAGGTAGTAGTCGGATTAAACGAGGCTATAGACCGCTTTGGTGTTCGAAAGCGGGTGCATAGTGATTCTGGTCTTACTAGTCCTGTAGATGATCCTCACAGTGGCGATGTTGTGATGGAAGGTATAGACGATACTGCTCGCAGTCCGCCTCCTCGCAAGAAGGCTCGTCCGTCTGATCAAATTGTGACTCGATCTCATGCTGCACCTCCATCACCACTCCCATCACCCCAGCCGAGCCCCGCGGGTCAAGTATTATGGGCGCCTAACCCTTCCACTGAGGCTCAAGCTCCGTTTCAGCCGGATCTTTCACTCACGACACTCTTAGCTCTTCCCGATCTGCTTACACATTACATCTCACTCCCCCCTGGCCTTCAATCCCACTACATTCTTACCCTCCTCCGTCATTCACCACTCCAAGTGCTTCGCATGATTCATTCCGTCCTCACCCCCACCCTAGCTCGCGATTTCGTCGGTATGCTTCCTCCCGAACTTGCCTCGAACATCCTTCAATTCTTGCCGCCTTCCGCTTTATTTGCCGCTGCTCGAGTCTCCCGTTCTTGGAGGAATTTAGTTGATTCCGATCCTGTCATATGGATGAACCTTCTCAAACGTACCGGAACATGGTTCGGTGGCCCTTCGGAGGTTGCCTTTGCTCAGCGAGTGGAAGAGTACCGCGCGCGTCACCCGCCTGCTTTCAGACGTGGCAGCACTGTATCTTCACTACCCCTTCCACACCCTTACAAGCTTCTCTTTAGAGCTCGCCACACGATCCTTTCCCGCTGGACTCAGACAACACCCAAGCGTTTACACTTCCCTGCTCATGGTGCCTCAGTCGTTACGTGTCTGTTGTTCTCTCGTCGAAGAATCATCTCTGCCTCGGACGATCATTCCATTCATGTGTACGATCCGGCTGATGGGAGGCAAATCCGGATTTTAGAGGGACACGAAGGTGGTGTGTGGGCGCTCGCGGTGTGTTCGAGAAGGATTGTGTCCCGCAATCCTCATGCGTCTCCCAAATATTATGATTTGCTTGTCTCTGGCTCGACTGACCGGACCGTGAGAATTTGGGATCTTGCGACAGGGAGAAACACGCATGTATTTGGGGGACATACGAGTACTGTAAGGTGTTTGGCGGTTGTGAGGCCGACTTGGATTGAGAAGGATGATGGGAGTGGTGTGAAGGAGAAATGGCCCAAGCGGACGTTGATTGTTACTGGCAGCCGGGATCACTCGCTTAGGGTTTGGAGGTTGCCCGGGAGGGGTGAAGATGAGTATAGATGCTTTGGGGCTGATACGACGGAAGACGATCCAGCTGAGGTGGGGCATTATTATTACATTGTCTACAGTTATCAATAATGGCTGACCGGTCATTAGGAGGACGTGCGTGAAAATCCATATCACATCAGGCTGCTAGAAGGTCATACGCACGCTGTGAGGGCTTTGGCCGCTCACGGACGCACACTTGTGTCCGGGAGTTATGACGCTACTGTTCGTGTCTGGGACATTATAACTGGAGATTGTAAGTTTACTTTAACAGGGCACACACAGAAAGGTAGGCATCGACTCGCTATCCTCTTGCACTGGGTTTAATTTTTTTCCTGCTCTACAGTTTATAGCGTCGTGCTGGATTCCATTCGCAATCAAGTCTGCTCGGGTTCAATGGACGGGAGCGTTAGAATTTGGTCGCTCAAGACTGGTCAATTGTTGCACACCCTCATTGGTCATACCTCTCTCGTTGGTTTACTCTCCCTTTCTCCCACTACCCTTGTATCTGCTGCGGCAGACTCCACGCTTCGGATATGGGATCCAACTTCTGGGTCCCTGCAACACGTCCTCTCTGCACATACTGGTGCTATTACTTGTTTCCAGCACGATGAATTCAAAGTCCTTTCTGGCTCAGATGGAGCGCTCAAGATGTGGGATACGCGAGATGGGACTGTCATTCGTGATTTACTCACCAACATCACTGGTGTCTGGCAAGTCGTCTTTGACGAACGATTCTGCGTGGCCGCAAGCAACGCCCAGGAACACACCTTCCTCGACGTCTGGGATTTTGGGATGGAAGGAGATGACGACATCGAGGCCGCTCGCGTCGGCGAAGAGGATGAGGAAAGTGAGGACGAAGATGACCACGAAGATGAGATGATGCAAGACGCAGCGTCCAGTTCACACTACATCGACAGTGTGACGGTTTCAGCAGACAACGAAGAAGAGGTGGTGTCCCAGCAAACATGGAGTGCATGGGAGCCTGGGACCAGCGAGGACACGCAAAACTCAAATGCTCAGTTTGAAACATATGTTGGTCCTTCACAAACCTTTGCAGCCTCACCTACCCTCGAGCTTCCGGATCCGACTTCGCCCTCTCCAGTCCCTGGCCCGTCTGGCTCCTCCAAACGTGGTGCATCCTCAAAAGATAAGGGCAAAGGCAAGGCGGTCGCGACGGCACCTACCGCTCCCCCCTCACATGAAACACCGCCGGCTTCGACGACCCCTCAAGCTATGCCACCGGGGGGATACTCTGCATGGGCACATGGCGCCGCTCCTGGTGCTCAGAGTTTCACCGCCGCTATGGCGGAAGAAACACCATCCAAGTCCCAACGATCGACGAGACAACGTCGATGATTCGGATACCGAACGGACATCATGGACAATATTTCGTCTTCGGCTTGAAACCAGCTCGCATGTCCTTACATAGTTTCTGCCGTGTTGGCAAGCGAAACTTGTTGCATGATTAGCGTTCATCGATTCACCTAATATCACCTGCATCTACCTCGCTCCACATTCATTATAGGACGCACCACCAACGATTTAAATTCCGCACCTCCCCCCCTCAAATCATCACAGGGTTCCCCACAACTACCCAGATACCACCCTCGCCACCTGCATCCCACTACTACAATGTTTCCTTTTTCTGATTCTTATTCACCTTTGTCGTACCCGTGATTATTTTCGTGCATGTTCCTAACAGTAATGAGTTATTGGGAAGTGGCCGCACGATGTGAGACTCGATGGAGTGAGCTTCATTATCATAGACCGAATGTCAATGTTGAGGAAGCTGGGTTTCTAAGCACGTGTGCGTGTTAGTTGATGTCGGAAAACACGGAATTTCGTTTTAACGCGTTAAGAGCTCTCAACGCGTTTCAACGCCTTATTGATCCGTTCCAACGCTTTATTAATTTGTTCCAACACTTTGCTAGTCCGTTCCAACGCTCAATGCAAAAATCAAATTGTAAATACTCAGCCCCGCTGTAAACATCCCTGTTCACAAACGTATGGACGCACTTCCCCTTCACTGCCAACCACGGCTGCAGCAACTGTACACTCACATTTCCATACCCTGTACTTCCAAGCCACATGGGAGTCCCCCATACTCAGGCAAACACACGTTCCATGATCCATTGCCACAAATTACCTTCACTTGCTTCACATCGATGACGTCTACCTACTTGACGGTCAAGCCACTCTCACAGCGAACGACCACTTCAGCAAGTGACAAATCCCCAACAACCCCACCGTTCTCTTCCTGTGTCATTTTAACCAGTGGGGTTCCATATGGGAGGCCGGGCGCTGAGTCGTAACATGTCATTCAGGGACAGCATGGACAACGATTCCGACCACACACAGAGTGCACCCCCCATCAGCTGTCAGTGTCCAGCATAGGAATCTTCCTTTATCGCTCCATGTTCCACCACCCTCAATGTCCACCGCACATTCTTATTTAAGCCACTTCGTTCACTGAGTTCTGATTTGTGTTTGCACTCATGTTCTCCTCAATACCACTGCTGAAATGAACAACAATCACGAATTCTAACTCCACATAGCACCACCATTGAGAGCCACAATGAGTTAGACCTCAATCCCACAGCGGGTGTACACATATTGAGAATACTAAGTAACTTAGCCCATATACACTCAAAAGACCTATGATTGATACAACTTTATGTCAACATATCAGCGCGGAGCTGAGAGTGCATGGTAGTGTAGCGGTTATGAATGTACTTACTATAATGATCACAGTGTTCCTCGGTTCAATTCCCACCTGTACCAACCATTTAATGATATTTAGTTCTGGTCCTATTCCGAAATGTGAGTCACCAAAATCAAGGATAGGATGTAATGAAGTGAAGGTATGCTTCAATCCTGGCTTGCAAGGGGTTGTCTCTTTTTGTTGACCCTACCTTGTTGCCGTTGCAACGCGTTGAAACGGAGGCAAAGCGTTACAACGCCTCGAAGTGTTGGAATGATCGAGTTCAGTGTTGAGAGCGTTAGAACGGCACGTGCCGTTGAAAGGCGTTACAACGCCTTGTAACGGGTTACAACGCTTCCGCAGTGTTTTCCGACAGATGATCTCATCTTGTATCCCCATCTACAACATGCGCTATGATGCAGCTACAATGGCACTCATTGAATGCATAGCTCAAGACCGGCCCAGATACGAATGTCTATTCAGTAAACAAGCTGCAGTGGTTTGAACTGATCAAGCAAGATCCGATGCGGCGGAGGCAAAGGTCCAGCAATCGTTGCTTGTTGTAAAACCTGGTCAACACTGGCAACCTGCACCAGACAAAGTTGATGAGTACCTTGCACGTTGTGATGAGATGTGTCAGTTGGGCCACAGGATTTTGAGGAGTTGAGTTTTGTAAGTGATAAGCATAGAGAACCATATCTAAGCTGGAGATCTTGTATTTTACACCCTCTAGTGTAATATCGAGTTTGACTTTGGTTCAGCAACTTTCAATTACCCCAAGTCCCTTAACCACCTGAACTCAATTGCTGGCCTCTGCCAATGTTAAGGTCCCTCACAAGTTTATAACAATTGTGTTTACATTTGTACATATGATGCGGGGTCGGGTAAAGGGACTTTACCCTTCTCCTCACCACCTGAGCTCCATATAGTCTAACTTCTTGACAGATCTGAGGACTGAAGAATCAACCAGGCCAGCACTTACACCAGCCTTACATAGATCCTCAACACTTATCTATAAAATACTTGCCTTTTCTTGACACACAGTAATTGATCTATAAGCGCTAGCTAAAGGCAATATACAGATCATGTAAGTTACAAAGTAAAAGGGATGATAAGACCTCAGTCTCAAGCTATATGTGCAAGAACTGAGGAAAAAAGGAATAATTCAATGAATGAATGTATCTGTGACCTGGCACAGATAAGTCCGAAATAATAGGAAAGGGAAGTCTTGTGACTGAGTACATCAGCAAAAAATTGTTATGCTCCTGAGTGCTCCGGAGTATCGAGAGCACTGGGAGAATCGGGAGGAGATTGGCCGGTCCAGGAACAGCCCATTTCCTCCAGAGTTGGCTAGGTACTCCAGGGCACTCCCAGGAGGGCCTGGAGCATTGCTTTGTGCACAAACATATCCAGTAAATACAATTTAATTGTTGTTTAATGTTTTCATTTCACGAGACTAATCACAGGGCAACGATCAAACTCAGCCCAGCCAACGCTATGACTTCCCCTGGCTCGATCACCCCGATGCACCTGTCTCAGCACCGCACTTGCCCCTTTGCCGCTTTCACGAGTTGCTGCACAACCTGACCATTTGATGGACCCAGGGACCGTGCCTCAGTCGTATGCTGGGTTTTCTGGTGCAGATGCGCGAAGCGGACCACACCAGCGGAGGTATGTACTGAACCTCACTTATCACGAGAGTGCTCATGACAATTCAGGCCATGCTTATAAAAAGGGGCTTTCACAGCGCCCCCTTTTCCTTCCTTATCGCCTGAATCTCTCGCGACTCTCGTGGTGCGTACAAGGCCAACTTGCTGCTGTTCTTTCGAACTCACTCTCGTGATTTTGCCGCTGCTGCCGCTACTGCCTCCCTGTTTCCCTTGCTGCTTTTCCCCCTCGACTCATGCATATCCGTTGCTGCAGTCTCATGCTAGTTTGTTTTCGCCTCTCCCACCCCCTCCCCTTTCACCACCGATTACTTCGTTTCGTTTCCGATCTTGCGTGTATTCTGTTTCCATATATATCTTTTTCTGGTTTCCACCCATTCCGGAGTTTGCATGTATTACTATCATCCGTTGTTCTACTTTCTTGTGTATTTCTTTTGTTTTGTCTGAAACTTCTTTGTACTTGTAGCCGGTTCACGCGTGTCTCACGCCGCTTGCTTGCTCCCAATACATTCTGGGCCTCCTGGGCTGTCTCCCGCTACGACCTCAGTCAACCCTGATTAGATGCTTCAAAGTGTATAGGGGTGAGAAGCTTCTGGGAGCTCCTGGAGCATTTGAAAATGAAAAGGAAAAAAAAAGAGGGAAGATCCCCCATGAATACCTCCTACCACAAGACTAACACAACAAGACACTGCTTAACATTTAGATCAAACACTATACTATATATCAAGGACACTGAGACTCACCAATACACAATCAAAATTTATGGCCTGATATATGATTAATCTGGCAACTTAATCACTTTCGGGCTGGCAGAATATGGGGGAGGGGGAAATGGGGGAGAATGAGGGGGGGAGAATGAGGGGGGAGAATGAGGGGGGAGAATGAGGGGGGAGAATGAGGGGGGAGAATGAGGGGGGAGAATGAGGGGGGGAGAATGAGGGGGGAGAATGAGGGGGGAGAATGAGGGGGGGAGAATGAGGGGGGAGAATGAGGGGGGGAGAATGAGGGGGGAGAATGAGGGGGGAGAATGAGGGGGGGAGAATGAGGGGGGGAGAATGAGGGGGGGAATGAGGGGGAAATGAGGGGGAGAATGAGGGGGGATATAGAGGGAAATGAGGAAATTTTGAAAAATAGGGACTTCTAAAAAGTTGAAAAAAATAATTAGGGAAAAAATCAAAAAAATTCAGGAACTGTAGTGCCTTTGAAGTGCTTTCAGGATATATAATTATTTGCAAAATTGAGGAAGAAATGATGGAGAAAAATGGAAAATACTTTCGGAGACCCGAGAAATAATGAGAACTGAATTGATGGGAAAGTCTGAAAATTGAATAGGGAAGTGAGGGGAAGCCTTGTAGCATTGTTATTTTCTGCTGTTCTAATTTTTCCTGATTGTTCTTGGTCTCACTCCCAGCTGCTACTGGATACTCCTGGATACTCCTGGAAGCTCCTGGGAGGGTCCAGGAGCAGCTAATGGAAAATACTTTTGGAGACCCAAGAACTGAATTGATGGGAAAGTCTGAAAATTGAATAGGAAAGTGAGGGGAAGCCTTGTAGCATTGTTATTTTCTGCTGTTCTGATTTTTCCCGATTCTTCTTGGTCTCATTCCCAGCTGCTCCTCAATACTCCAGGAAGCTCCTGAAAGCTCCTGGGAGGGTCCAGGAGCAGCTGGGAGTGAGACCAAGAACAATCAGGAAAAATCAGAACAGCAGAAAATAACAATGCTTACAAGGCTTCCCCTCACTTTCCTATTCAATTTTCAGACTTTCCCATCAATTCAGTTCTCATTATTTCTCGGGTCTCCGAAAGTATTTTCCATTTTTCTCCATCATTTCTTCCTCAATTTTGCAAATAATTATATGTCCTGAAAGCACTTTAAAGGCACTATAGTTCCTGAATTTTTTTTTGATTTTTCCCTAAATTTTCCTCCCACTGCTCCTGGCACATTACATACTCCTCACCACTCCCAGCTGCTCCTGAACCCCCTCCC